GGCGTGCGTGCCCATCTCTGCAATCTTGCCGTTCGCAATCACAAAGATCACGTCGGCCTCGCGGATCGTCGACAGCCGGTGCGCCACGGCAATCGTGGTCCGCGACATGGTGGCCTCGTCCAGCGCCGCCTGCACCAGCCTCTCCGACAGCGTGTCCAGGGCGCTGGTGGCCTCGTCGAGTAAGAGGAGCTTGGGGTTCCGGATCAGAGCCCGCGCGATCGCGATCCGCTGTCTCTGTCCGCCCGACAGCTGCGCCCCTCGCGATCCGCACGGCGTGTCAAACCCCTCGGGAAGGGAAATGACAAAGTCCAGGGCGTTTGCTTTACGGCACGCCTCCTGAATCTGGTCCTCAGAGGGTTCAAAGTCGAGGCCAAGAGAAACGTTCTCGCGGACGGAGCCCTGGTACAATGTCGGTTCTTGCTGCACAAGAGACATGTGTCCGCGGTAGAGTCGGGGTGACATGGCCGCAATGTCCTTGTGTGAGAAACAGATCCGACCCGATGTGGGATCATAGAATCTCTCCAGAAGAGCCACAAGCGTCGACTTGCCGCAGCCTGACGCGCCAACAAAAGCTGCAAACTGTCCCGGCCTGATGCTCATCGAGATGCCCCGAATCACCCGCGACGTCTCTCTCTGGCGGTAGCGGAACTCGACATCTTCAAAATCGACAGGTCCATCCCCTTCGGGTCCCTCATTTTTGTTGGTCTCCGTCTCCGTGATGGTCGGCTTCAACGTCCTCAGCCAGAGTATGTAGTTGGCAGCGCTTCGAGCTTTGGTGATGGAAGTCGTATACCCAAAGATTTCAGCCGCTGCTTGGCCCGCGAAGAGCACCCCGACATAGATGGTGTAGAATTGTGTGGTAGTGTACTCTCCTGACGCCAACAACCTACTTCCGTACCAGAAACCAAGAGCCATGGCCAAGAACACGATCGACTGCGACAGAGCATACCAGAACATTGTCCACACCAATGCCCGCGTCGACTTCAAAACGATGCTGCTGAGCATTTGCGAGTACTCCTCCAGGACATGGGCTTCAAGGGTCAACGAAGCCACAGTTCGAATCGATGAGACGGCTTCGTTGGCCAACCCGCCACTTTCCGCAAATTTGTCCGAGACCTGAGACTCGAGCTTAGTTTCCAGCCGGATGCGAAGATAGCCAGACAAAAGCAGAGGTGGAAGCACCCCAAATATCACGGATAGGCCTAGTTTCCACCCATACGCCAAAGCCAGAATGCTGCTCGCCAGCACGTTGACCACGATGATAAAGATGAGCAGGATGTTGAACGAAATCAGTTCATGTAGTTGAGTGGGAAGGGTAGAGAGCTTCGAGGTCAAGGCGCCCGACGTGTTGTCTGGAAGGTCGAAGAACTCAATGTCCTGGTCAAGCACACGTTGAAACATTTCCGCCCGATAGCGATGAGTGACTGTTTGTCCAATGATATTGGTCAACCATCCGATTACAAAATAAGCCACCAAGTTTCCGATCGCGACAACAAAGAACATCAACGCAAAGAAATCGGCTCGGTCGCGGGCTGCCTTGCCTGTCAGCTGGAAAATTGTCAAGAGCTTGGAGAAGAGGACGGCCTGGGCCGGGTACGTCGCGCCACTGAGAAGAGCAGCGAAGGCAGAGATTCCCAAGCACCAGTACAGTGACTTTTGCTCACAGAACATGATGTAGATACATCGCAAGAGTGAGTAGTTGAGAGTCCCCACAGGGCTGGTCCGTCTTTCCGCGTTACCGCCCTCAGATGTCGCAGCGGTGATTGTTCGTTGAAGCCCCAACCCTTCTCCCGTCACATTTATGGTCTGTTTCTCGCTCAAAAGCTTGCTGGACTCATGCTCTTCGGCAGCACCGAGATCCTGAGCTCGAACCAACCCGGCGTAATGACCGTTCAGATCGAGCAGTTGCTGGTGGGTACCTTGTTCAACGATCTGTCCGTGGGACATGACCACGATGTTGTCAGCGGCCTTCACAGTCGCTAGTTTGTGTGCAATGACCAGGGTGGTCCGGTGTTTCGACACCCGATTCAGAGCATCCTGGACAAGTCGTTCAGCTGTAGGATCAAGAGCGCTTGTGGCTTCGTCGAGAAGAAGGATCTTCGGATCGGAGATGATGCTGCGAGCAATGGCGATCCGCTGTTTTTGACCTCCACTGAGTGTCCCAGCCCGCTCCCCAACCTGAGTCTCATAGCCTTGAGGAAGTTCGTTAATGAAGTCATCGGCATTACTGGCCTTGCAGGCTTCTCGGACCAATTCCATCTGCATCTCGGGGGGAAATCTTCGTTGCTCGTCGAGAAACCCTTTGGCGACATTCTCGAACACGGTTCCTCGAAACAAGACTGGTTCTTGTTGTACAAGACGAATTTGGCTTCTCAACCACTTGACATTGTATTCATCCAACTTAATTCCATCAAGTGTAATATGACCCGCGGTCGGAGGATACCATCGCTCAAGAAGCCCTACCAGTGTACTCTTTCCACAGCCTGAGGCTCCTACTAGAGCCGTGGTCTTCCCGGCGGGAATGCTGACGGTCAGTCCGCGTAGAACCTGAGCAGCTGGTCGTGATGGATAAGCAAAGTCCAGGTCTGTGACCTCGATGTGGCCTTCACATGAGGATGGCTGTACGCCCGCGGGGTTGAGAGGGTCTAGAAGTGAAGGTTTGTCCATGACACTAAACAGTTCCGAAGCGGCAGACGATGCGTTGGTGATAGCCTGAATTTGTGGCGCAATGGTCGAGATTGACGAGGAAGCGATAATGACCGACAAAACCACCGTGAAGACATCGCCAACGTTTTCAACTTCGCCGCTCTGATACATTCTGAATCCTTTCCAGAACGACAGTGCAATTCCCGAATAGACAAGGAAAAACTGCGTGGAGAAGAGGACTCCATAGTTGGGAGACTTCTTGTTGCCTTCTTTGTGGGCTTCTGCCAGGAACGTGTCGTATTTCTGAGCCATTTTCTTCTGTGCGTAGAAAGCGTGGACTGTTCGGATAGACGAGAAGACCTCCTCGGCTAGGACAGCGGCTCGAGAGTATATACGGAGGACTCTCGCCTCCTGTGCCGCATCAATCGCAATGCAGATGCCGGTGACGATGAAAATTGCAGGTATCACAGACATGGTGATCAGGGCCAGTTTCCATTGCGCAGCCAGGGCCACGATGAATGAGGCCAAGAACGTAGAAAGCCCTGAGATGACAAAGGCCAACTTTTCGGCAATCCCGGTCTGAATTCGGTTTCCGTTGGTGGTGACTTGGGTAGCTGTCGCTCCATTGGTCTGCTTGTCGAAATGCCAGATTTCTTGCCGTAGAGTAGCTTCGAGAAATTTCCTCCGGAAAGTACGAGTGGTGCGTATTGCCGAGATGCTAATCGTTGCGGTTGATATATAGGTTGTCCCAAATTTGCCTATGAAGAGGTAGATGAACCACAGGACAAAGTGGTCCACGTCGTCTCTGAACTGTTGTGGTGTTGACGAGCCACTGGCGAAATTGTTGAACTTGGTTGTAAAGGTGCCAAAGACCAAGGTCATCAAGGGAAGTGTTGCCCCCGAAGCGATGCTGTTAATGAGCGCAATCGCATTCAACACCCAGTCATAGCCGTCGGCATACTGAAAGATGCGAAAATAGTCCTTGATGCTACCTTCGGGCTGTTTCTCTTTCTCAGCTTGTTGAGGAGCTGGCACCTCGCCATCGGGGCTCAAGGGCGATTTCTCTGGCGTGCTCGTCATCTGGTCTGCTGAAGCTTCGAGGAATACTCGACACTGAGAAAGGGTGTCATCAACCCCTGGTACTTCGTGGACGACTCACACCGTCGTGTGTCCGCGTGTTAAGTAGTCGTTTATATATCTCTTTTTCAGTGGACTCAATGCCCAGATTTCTGCCTGGACTTGAATGCTGGACACAAGAGATCATGCTTGGCCAAATATCGAGGACGTCGAAGAGCCAAGATTGGCCCAGCATCTTGGACAACGTCGGATCCATAAGGCGAGAAGTTCTGATAGGCTGTGATTGGTTGACGATACGTGAATGCGGGATCGACGACATCATGATAGTTTTTCTCCTGGTATTGATGGTTCCGCTCTTGGTTGCTTGGGTTGCTCGGTTGTGTAATTGTTTGGTTTTCTTTGGTTGTTTAATTGATGGTCCAGATGGTGTCACTTTCCAGATCTCGGCTTCAGATTGTTCCAGATGCCGAACTCCGGAACCCCACAAGGCTTAAATCTCCGAAGCCGGCACCTTCAATGTCCAAGGTCGAGGTCTTCCCCCCAACTGCGGCCAACATCTTCCCTCCCAAATCGCCAACTGGGGCCAACATGGAGGTGATAGAAAAATGGACAAAAGACACTTCCGGTTCAAAATTAATAGATTTCATTTTCTGCCCTCATCGACTATAGGTATTCTGTTCATGAGTAAGATCTCCCTTCCATCGCCCATATCACTCTGGTCTAGGCTCCAAGGTTGGCTTCATCAAGAGAAGGGCTTCTCGATGATAATCTATTTCATCCTCTCACAACACTTTGGACTTGGGGAGACGCATCTCTCTTCGGCTACGAATCTAAACAAGTGTCCAACATATCGACCCTCACGATGCACCCAACGTCGTTCTCGGCAGCCTGTCCATGTACCTCCCGAGTCTGAACTGTAGATTCCAACTTTGACCTACCCGACCGTCACCCCAGGCGTTGTTGCGTGAGAGCACCCTCTGTAAAAATCCAGAACTCCCATCCGCTATGCCAACACAAATCACCCACAGAGTTTGACATCGCTACCAAAGACCTCAATCAAGCAAAATGGATATATTTGGCAATCAAGCTGAGCGACCGGAACTCCACTAACATTGCAGCCGTAACAGGTCGTGAAAGTTGCTTTTTGTTTTGGTTAACTGGGATAATTCGGTCGTGGTCGTGCAAATTCGGCCAGACCATCAGTGGTAAAGCAGGTTCGTCCAACGACAATTCACCGTTGGCAAAAACCCTCACCATTTGCACGTCGAGTAAGAACTTCAACTGGCGCCAGTTTTGAGTTTCTTGACGTCCCCTTCTTTGTCCGCCAGATCAACACTCCCCTTCCTTTTCTCCCCATTCGCTTGCTCGCTCGCAGCCTCTCGAGCTGCATCTCTACTTCCGAATCCCAGCGCTTTGGCATCGGCAGGCGTCGGGAACACGAGAGGACTCGGTAATACAGCAGACATTCGATCCCACTCGCTGAAGAAATTGCTCGGGCTCGGCAGAAGATCGTTGTTCATATACCGACTTGGTAAGGCGGAGATAGGCGTTTCGATGTTATTCCGATTGTCATTGTATGCATCGCGGTTTGCATTCGAAGTAGGTGGTGGTGGCCGGGCAAAGGGATTTGGTGGTCCTGATGCGCCAGCTGACATTACCGCCGAAGCGCTCGGCGAGGGTGGTGGTAAGACGATATGGTCCGAGCCTCTAGCTGGGTTTGCTGACGGGTTAGCTGACTGTGATGGCGACCCTCCTGTAGCCGAGTCGTTGTCCTCTGCCTCCGAAGGTATCTGAAGGTTCAACTTAGGTCGAGCTCCGGATTTGGATCCCGAAGTATTAGTTCGGGTAGGCGGAGCAAATTCCGGGACAGTGGTCTGCGGTCGAGCACCCTGTGAATTGGGTCGAGGAATGGTTGGGGCCGTTGTGCTACGGGGTAGAGGTTTGAGATCTGGCGACTCGTTTTCCTTCTTCGGTTGGGGTTTGGGTTCTGACGCACCGAAGAAGTGCTGCATCAAAACCGAGCCACCCTCATCTATCGGAGTAAATATGCTTCTCGACTTAGACGACAGATGCTTAGGCTGAGGTGGTGTAGCTTGCTCCGGAGGCCGGAGGTTTAACTGTTCCGGTTGAGGTGAGACCCGGGCTTCTGCTTGAGGTGGAGGTTGTAGACTTGGTTGAGAGACCGGAGGCGGCTGTGAAAGCCGTCTCTGTTCTTGTAGGTACTGCTGGTGCGCCTGTTGCATCTGCTGGTGGGATTGTGGAAGTGGTGGTGGTGGTGCTTGTGCTTGCTGTTGCTGTTGCTGCTGAGGGGGAAATGTCTGAAACTGAGGCTGAGGTGAAGGCTGTGGAGGGACAGGCGGTGTTCCTTGAGGGTTGTAAATGGGTGGATTCGGTACGTAGGCAAACCCATTCTGTGGCGGGGGAGGAGTAGGATGAGGATGTTGCATGGGAACCAAGTTGGAGCTCGTTCGGCGGATCATATTCTGGGAGGGCGGCCTCGAAATCATATGCGGTGGTTGCGGCGTGCCGTGTCGAGGCTGAAACATGCCATTGGGCATTGGAGGTGAGACGGACGCCATGGGCTGCTGGATATGCGCAAAAGAGTTGTGGTGTTGTAACTGGGGAGGGAGATGATGGGGTGGCAGCGAGTCCTCTCGGGCATGTGCAGGGTGCTCTTCATCCTCATCCTCATCCTCATCATCCTCGCCGCCCTTGTTCTTGAAATCAGGAGGGCCTTTGTGTTCATGGGGTGCTCCGTACTAACAGCAGCATGTCAGCACAAGAATTCCCTCCTCCAAAGAGACCTAGTTCAGGACTCTCAACTCACATATTGATATCTTCGCAGTGTTTCATTGATGTCTCCGGACGAAAATTCGTACAGCTTCTTGTTATGACCAAATATGATGACTGCGACATCGACCGAACATAGGACAGAGAGCTCGTAGGCCTTTTTGAAGAGACCGCCTTTGCGCTTGAGGAACGTCCTGCCCGGGGAATTAGCGGACTGCACGAAACACAAGCCAAACACCACCACCACAACTCACACTGAACGGTTACGGTCATCCTTGATAGCCCTGATTTCAATCTTCCTCCGACCCATGGTTGTTTAAATGTTTCTCGTATTTTGCATATGCCAAAGACCCAATTGTACCTCGTGGTCAGCTGAGGCGAGTGTCAACGACTTGGCTACACCGAGACCGCTTTGTCGAGAGGGAGAAGAAATTGGCCAGAGAGGGGGCCCGAAGCCGGATAGGGAAATTGTATATTAGACAAGGAAATACTCGAGCTCTCTTTGTTCGCTGTCGACCAGATATCCGACCGAGGAGGGTGCAGCTGCGGGTGAGTGGGCGAGGATGGCGACTTGGACACACTGGATTGTCCCGGTCGCGACAATGAAGACAAAACAGAGAACAAAGGGCGCAATGATGGGTTAGAACAAGTAACAACAAAGTATAATTGTAACTCGAGACTGGTGCTGTGGCTTGCTAATTGAGGCTCACACCGAGTGCATCGTGGATTGGCTCGATGGCGTTTGTTAAGCGTGTAATTGAAGCGTGGATGTGCACGGTGGGTAATGGATGCTAAAGATAGAATAGAAGAAAGAAGGGTCGAAATAATCAGGCGAGGGAGAAGTTGGGCAAAAGTAAGTAGTCTGGTAGTGCAGGCTGCAGACGCAAGGTGCGAAAGGGTGCAGCTGCAGCCGAAGCCCGTTGGAGGTTTGCCGACCATCCCCTCGAGTTTGGGTTGAGGGGCGGCCAGGCGGCGTGTGTGGGAGGAGGGGGCAATAGCTACAACGCCTACCACTGGCGGCTCTCCGTGGCAGGTTTTCCTAACTGGAGGTCCCTGTAACAAAGGTGACCAACCTGCCTAGCTAGGCAAGACCCTCCGCACCCTAGGCAAAGAAAATCTGGGAATGGGCAAGCCAAGTGGAATACCAAGAAATCCCCGAAACTCAAGCGGCGACGAGCCTCGCCGGCTCAGTTGCTTGATTATTACGAGGGACTCCGCTTGATTACCCTTGGGGGTGCTTATAGGGAGGCTGAGGGTCGCTGAGGGTCACTGAGGATCACCGCGGAACCCAGGTCGCCAAGTATCTGCGCAGTAGACATGGCCACCGAGAAAGGTGCGTTGCTGAGTGATGGGCAATGGCCGGGCCAGAACATGCTCTTTGTGGTCATATGAGTCCCTTGGTACCTATCAGTATGTACCCTGCTGTACTCGGTATCTTGTACATACCTATGTAAGTACACTAGGTCCCTTTGTATCGAGGTGTACCTTGTACCGAGGACAGAAAATCTCTTAAGTCATTTTGATATCTGCTGTTCCCTCTATCCCACGGCAAGCTCTGTATGTCCCCGTCTCGCACAAACAGTCATTTTTCAATCCCATTGTTCTCTCTCTTTGGCCATGGTACGAATGTCAATATCACTCTTCCAACGCCGGCGGCATCTTTCGTCTCGACTTCGACTGCTCCGGGTGCCGATGGCACCCAGATGGGACGGACGTCTCATGATTGGGAAGAGACGGAGATGAGTGGAAATCAGCAATAAGCGCCCTGCACCATCAGGGCTAGAGTGATCGCCTCTCCGCAGCAGACAGGCAGGAATGCGGTAAGTGGTAAGCCCAACCAACTCTCCACCGCATCGGCCCTAGTGTTTCAAGTCTTTCGGGCTCCTTTAGCCCATTTCATCTGCGGCTCTTACGTGACTTGGCATGTCGCGAGGGCGACAGCGATTGGATCGCTTGAAATGCTAGCTCAGCTATTTTTAGCAGCCCACGCGAGCACTAACAGTTCCTCAGCTGCATGTTATCCTGGCGCCATGCTCAACAAGAGGGTCAATCCATGCATTGTCGTTTTGCACGGCCGTCGATCATGTACCAGTACGAGTACACAGTTCCCTACGTCGTACGAACACCTGGTTGCATCCCAGTAGACTCATCTGAATATGCCCGCCGCCACTCAGATCCAGTTGTCGATGTGTCCCACCTGAGGAAAATTCGTGTGCTCGAAACCCACGTAGATCGACAAATAGATGGCAAGAGAGATAGACACGGCCGAGCCTTGCCAGCGCTAGGGCGAGGCTGAACTCATAGTCAAATCACATGCATTTCGCGCATGCAAACCCATCCACTCGCGTATCTCAGGCATGAATATCCACCATGGATTCCTCGCCGAGTAGGATCAGGGATTCAATAAGTAATCGGTTTACAAGATGCACGTCGTGTATACCCTCCTAGATAGGGAAATAGGATGCCTTCAACAATCATGCATACCAGACTCCTTTCTCACCTGACAATGGCCGAGCTGACTTGCTCGACCTCGGAGTTTATTGCCGCACTTGTATATTAATGACCCCCCTCCCCCCCTGGCTTTGGCTTACATTTCGAGAACTATATCTTTGGCCCCGGGCCCCAACATGTCGGCTCCTCAAGCTTCCTTTCAGGAAGCTTCGCCTCATCCTTCAGTCAGAAATAGTCAGAATCAAGCCGACCTGTACAAACCATTTGTTCTTTGAACACGCCCTAACCCGCCAGCACGGAGAGACAGCACATAGTTCAGGATTCCAAAGATGTCTGAACGTGGTCGGTTATTGTCCAGACCGCCCTCCGATACATGTACTTGGAGGTTGTGAGTCGAAATAGTATCTGGCTCCATAACCTGTTCTCGATGATTCAAGGGTACCATGTCATCTATAGCTTCCGCTCCGACTTGCGCCTCCACTGTCCACACTCTGGCCACCCACTCCTCTCTCTCGCTCCCTCTCTCTCCCCCCTGATGGTCCCAACTGTCCTCAATCCCCCAAACGTACCTCCACCACAGGAACCCAAGAAAAGCTTTCACCCCGCGTCTAGGCCCTCAAGCGCAAACCAACATCAAAGGGTTATTAGTTTTCCCACCTCATTTGCCCACAACCAACACAGTTAACAAGGGGGAACAAAAAAAAGGGATGGAAAGGGTGTATTATTATGGTGCTGTCCCGCAGCTCAGGTGGATCATGTTGCCAAACGCTCACACAAATGAGAAAGAAAAGGAGAGAAAGATAGTCATCGGCGTGGAATAACGCGGAGGTGGTATCTTGGACACACATAAGCTGCAACCCCCAAAATTCAACACATATAAACGCCTTGCTGTCTTTTCTGCGCAAAAATTGATCGCAATCGCGTGCAAAAAGGGAACTGTTGTCGGATGTGACTGCACTATGTGCTGCCCGATGTGTAGATGCTGTATGTTTACTGCTGCTTAATCTTCACTTTGTGGCTGGATTTATCGGCGGTTGCTGTCCATATTTCCAGTCAATTCAGCCACTCGGGCCTTGATTCGTGCAACCCGTGATTCAATTGCTATTGCATCGTTAGTCTCGACCCCTGAACAACTGTGCTCCAGAACTTACTCTCTTCCCCACTGGTTTCCCCATCGTCCGTTCGTGTTTCCGTACGACTCCGCGAGGTCTGCTCCTCCGATTGTCTCGCTGCTCTCTCGGCTGCGTTTCGCCGAATCTGAGCCCATCGGTCACCAGGACTGACCTGTTGCGTAAGGGCTGGTCCGTCTTCCTCCTCTACCGAGCTCTCCGTCTGCTGGAACGATCGGCCGGAATGGAGGCTGATCGGCGCATGAGGAGGTTCCTCGATAGGTGTCAAAAACTCTTCTCTGGGAGGTGTATCCACAGGTACGAAGGCTGGCTGATCAACGAGCGGTCCTTGATCAAACGTTGAGAACTCACGATCAGCATGCTCGCGTTCGTTCGTGTCTACTCGAGAGAGCTGATCATATTCTTCGTCGCGGCGAGTCCGCGGCGGTGCAACAACTTGATCGAACACCTCCGGTTCCCTGGACAGTTCTGGGGTCGCTTCTCTTTGTATCGACGCCGCCGTCATCTTTGGCGTCTCTGGAGCTTCATGGACTACAGGTGCTGGAGACTGGGAAGCTTTAACAGTTGCAAGGCGTTGGAAGTGACCAGGACTTAAGGGTGGGGATTCTGGGGCTGCTGCCTGGAGCGCAGGTTTGCCCTCCAGGGCACGTCTGGCTGCAGCAACGGCGGGATCTTCATCCACGTTGACTGGTGACTCAGGTGGTTCTGGGACTCTTGATTCCCGTGACTTGGATCGCTTGGTTCCAAACAGACGTCGGATGCCGCTAGTTTTCTGTACAGGAGGCGGCCCAGTCGGAGTCTTTCCCCTCGGTTTTTTCTGCTCAGGCGAACGACGTTGCTGATCCAGAGATTTTCTCAATTTAGCTGGTTGATGCTTGGGAGGCTCTACGATTTCTGGCGTAGCTGGTGGCAGAGGCACTTCTGCCGCCTCTGTCAATGTTGGGGTCTGGACTGGGATCGTTGATTCGGCAGGAATTGGAGCAGGCTCTATGACAATCGGTGTCCCAGCTGGAGGCTCAGCAGACTGAGACCTTTCGACAAGAGCCGGGCGCGACACTTTCTCGGCCGGCGCTGGTGGAAGGTCCTTATTCTTGCTGACCACAGACAGCGTCGATGTCGACCTGCTAATTCCTAAGCCGTTTTGAGGCAAGTTCAACAGTTCACGGGAGCCTTTTCCGGCCAGTGAGTCACCCAGGTACTTAGCCCGGATGGCCTTCTTGTCATACTGACTTGCCCATTGCAAGGCTGGTGAAGCCTCGTCCTTGATCAATGGACCCAGTGTGAAGATGCTGTTGGTCTTGGACGCTACAATGGGCTCCTGCATACGTCCACGACGAGTTGCCAGAACGGCTTGCTCCTCCTTCTGTTCAGCCTCTTTTCTCCTAGATAGCTCGGCCGCTGCTTTCTGGATCTTAGCCTGTTGATCTGGCGCTAACGTGGCTCTGTTGTTGGTGGAGAATTGGGCTTCGGGTGAAAGAGGGCTCTTTTTTGAACCCGACCCTCGTCGAGTTAGCCGGCCACGTTTTGTCGTAAATCCCAGGAACGTCTTCTTCTTCTCAGCGATGTACGCTCCGGCCGCAGGTTCTGGTGCAGCACCTTTGACCTGCTCTTCCATCACCATCCATTTGTCATCCGGGAAAATGGTTTCGACCAGGGCGCATCGACCGAACACAGCTTTTCTCGAGGTTGGCTCTTCTGAAGCAAGACTACTGATCCAGACCCACCAGAAGGAATCATCCACATTGACCTTGGTGATGCTAGCCAACTCGCCCGGATCGAGGTTCAGCTGTGTATCGAGGTTCCTCCGGTGCGACTGCGAGCTCTGCCCTCTAGGCGCAATCGTATTGATAGGAGGGAGGATCTTGTCGGGCGGGAGCAGGATAGGGGCGGGAGCTTTGTTACCGTGTTCGTCGGCAAATCCGGAGGACAGAAAATCAGCCATGAGGGAGTTGTTGGCCGGGCGAGATCTTGAAAACCTCCTTCCCGGACTGAGGCATGCATGGGTCGCTTCGAGACGACTCTAGGACCAAGCAGTCCGTCATCCTCTTCTTCTTCATCCTCGAGGGAGCTGCCAAAGCCAATATCTTCAAATCGTGACCATGACGGGTCTGTCAGGCTGGTGGATGTCTTTGCATTCGAGACCTGGGATTGATTTGCCGAAGAGATCGCTTTGAGGACGCGACGACATTCGTCAGTAAGAGCCTGAACAGGGTCGTCATAACTGGCAAATTGCTGTAGACCTCGGTCATCGTCTCGATATTCAAAGTTCTTGGCCCGCCGCAATAAAGCGTATGGAGTTGGCGAGACAACATCAACGATCATCACGACCTTTGTGGTATCGTTCGACAACAGAGCATGCTTTGGAGGGTAGGTGGTCGAGTCAAGAAGTTGCTGTAGTGATCTTGGAAGGCTCAGGATCCCACTCGCTTTTCCTGCACCAGGGGACATGGATCGTAGATAGGCGAAGAAGAGATGAGATGTTGCATCAGCAGCACTGTCAAAGTTAGACACGAGGCACAGCAGTAATTCAGGACATCGTACGTTGACCATGATTGATATCCAGACTCGAACCCTTTTCCAGCATCATAGTGTTCAAATGCCCACCAGCCGGCATATCTTGAAACTTTGTGGCCACCCAGTCCGTTAGCCTTGCCATGTGCTGCCAACGAAGCAAGGAGGTCAAAAAAGTCTTGAATGATTTGAAGCCGAGCAGGCGACTCAACGCCGATTGGAATGAATGTACTGAATGCGTCGCGCGCAAAGCCGGAGTCTGGATTTGTCAGTCTTGGGTGACACGACGATTGGGAATATGTCTGACCTTTTTCTCCGACTCTGAATGCTTCATAAACCTCCCATGTCACAACACCGCCGGGCAAACGTGCCCAGCACCATTTCATCACACTTATTAGAACCTACACGACCGTCAGCAGGGTTCAGACAAACCCATATCGTCCTTGTGCCATACCATGACTTCCGTCATACGAAGTTCCGTTTCCAAAAAGGAGCCCCGCAAGGGATCTCGATCATGAGGTGGCAGAAAGAAATTGCGAACAAAGGTTCTCGCGGCAGATGGATCGGATGATGGACGAAACGGGAGCAGTAAGAAGGGAACATCGAGAGCTAGACTAGAGTAAGCATCAACACGCTCGTAGAAACCGTGGCGACTGACCCCTCGACTTCAACTCGGCCGTGCATAAATGCAGGAGTTCAGACACCTCGTCAGGGTCGACCCTCGTGCGCGCCCATGCATCCGACCACTGAGGCTTCTTGTGTGAGTCTCCGTTTGCGACTGGCGCCGCGGTCCTTTTGCCCTGGCCATCCTTGCTTTTAAAGACCTTTGAGAAGAATGGCATGGTACCAAACTTTCAACGATGGTGGAAAGTAAGTTTGTTGTCCTTTTGCATCTGTTCAACAGCCGACGAGTGATCGCTGAGCGGCGGATTGAGTATTCGTACAAAGTGATAAATGCGCAGGATGCTGGTGAGTAAGTAAGAAGGAAAGACCGTAGGGCGAAAGGTGGACAGAAAGGTGACGACGAATTAACAAGGTAAGTGGTGATGCTTCGCAGTTAGGCAGGGTGCATATGCAGGACTGAAGATGCGTAATTTCAGGGGTTTACCGGCATTGGACGAATCGGTGAGCCGAAAACTTCGAGGCACTCGGGCGGTTCAATAATTTGAGATCCAACAGAGCAAGCGAATGTGAGGAAGCGGGAAAAAAAGGGGAGAAGATGAGTTGTTGTCGTTGCTGCGTTGTCCGGCGACCTGGCGGGCTTGAAAAGTGGTGTTGGTGGTCAACAATGAATCGAAAAGATTGGGTACAAGTGCAAAAAGATGGACGAAGACTGGCTATAGCCTAGAACAGGCCGCAGTATCCCGTGGTCTCTGGTGGGATGACTGACAGCCTTTTTCTTCTTTTGTGGGCGAAAACGAGAAGCGAAACAAAAAGGTGAGAGAGATGTGATAACGTCGAGGATAGGAGGAACGGCTCGAAGCCTCACTCCTGGGGAGCGCGACGTGTCGAGCCGTGACTTGAAAAGCGGTTTTGGGAAGCCAGAATCTGGTCTAGTTGGGTTTGGGCTTTCGTTGGTGGCGCCCAAAATTCAGGGACCACCCATTGCCATCCACCGCCCATCGGGAGCCAATTGCTACCTGGATTGCCCAAACGGTCGTCGGAACTTTTAGGCTGTGGATGGCGGTGGGGGTTTTGACAGGCTTACCTGGGTGACCTCAAACTTGGGCTTTGCTGTCCCTCCAACCAAACACCAATGAGAGCCACTCCGTCCTGCGACTGATCCACGCCGCAGGTCCCAGTCTCCCAAACCTTGGATTCTAGCTCAGCGCCCAGCCCGCTTGTTCAGGTTAGGATCGTAAGCTATGTCTCGATTCCGCCAGTCCCCATTTGCTTGAATTGGGGGGAAGCACTTGCCCGTGGCTGCCCGTGTCACCTCGTGAGTCTCGAGTCAAGCGGGTGAGAAACTGCACCTCCTATCAGATCAGTGCCACGCGAGACATGAAGAAGTCGATCAAGGCCACGCAAGCAGCCAAGCCCAACCTGTACAAGAGCACATGGTGCATGAGATTCTTGAAGATGGCATACCAAGTGAGTGTATCTGGGCAACATATTGACACTTTTCTCTTCTCTGGCATCACACAACCCAGTCTACCTCGTACTCCTGCGGGTAAAAGCAATGCAAGTGAGTACCGGTGCTGCAAGCCACAATAGGTGCCGTCACATTTGACTTCGGTGCAGGGGCCCGTTAAATGTTAGAGTAACACGCTCGTGCCAGGCAGGGAAGATAGCGACTGCATAGTCACTCTGGTGGGGGCTTTGATGATCGTTTAAGATTGACTGGATACTCTCCTTGTCGCAGATTAGTCCGAGATTTACCATGTCTCCAACCAGTCTCGATCACTTTAGGGGAAATCTCACGCTGGCTGGCGGAGTCATGCTCCAACTTCTTATATACTCCGACATCCTCATGGGTTCATGCATCCGCCCTGGATTTGTGTCTCCTTGCTTCAATTAGAATATCCAAGGAGTCTTACAATCGGGCCTGGTTTTGTATGCTGCCGGCTAATTGCATAGGACATGTTCACCCTAATTTCTCCTTTTGATGCTCGTACGCCTGGTTGTGACAAGAAATGTTCCTTTCCAACTGTTGGCTGGGCTGAATCGCAGCCTCGCCGCCGATGCGCCATTCCGCAAATGGACTCACGCATGACTGACTGACTGCGACTACTGACTTCCCGAGCACAGTGACCTCGTCCACGCACCGTCAAGTCATGACGTAACTAATGAAACAACTGGTGCCACAAAAGAAACACGCTGCATGTAACTTTAGAACGGTGCTTGCCTCAGGAGATGAGCAGAGGTACAGCGGGGATGTTGCTGTCCTGATTTCAACCGCTCCGAACGTCTTTCCTAGCTACGAAAAACACTTCAAACATTTTGTTCCAAGATGATGCTTCAAAAGTCGTAACGATATGATTTAGTCAGCGGCATATCAAGATCACAATAAATGGTAACTTGAAGGATGTGATCAACATGGCTGCCGACGACCTTGTAGCGTCGGCGGTCAAAGGGTTTACTTTGTATGAGTCGGGCTGGTCCAAGGACTACAGCTCTGGAGAAACCATCGGTGGTGGGGGTTAAGCTGAACCATTTTGTTCCCGGGTCAGATGTGGCACTGCCGCCCTCATTGCGACTTCCAACCCGCCGAGCATATGTCCCATTTCCCGGGGCCGACCAAGTGGGTAGCGGAAGGAAGATCGTCGAGACCCTGCTCCGCCCAAGTATGATGAGGAAGATATTGCGCATATGAGGATTGTCCCGGGCGGAGGGGAAGGCCAAGCGCGACCCCGACTACAAAGGCTTTCTGTAGTCTGAGAAATTAGGGCCACGATGCGAAGAGGTTGTGCTGTCCGCGGCTTTCACAGACAAAAGGATCTTCTCATTGCTGCTAGATCTGGAGCCAGCAGAATATGCCCCGGACCCACGATCGACCCATTTCATGCGTCTGGTGGAAAGATGAAATCTTTCACAATCGTAGAACCCGCGTATTCTGGATTGAGCATGACACAGTTGAGGAAATACGCCAGTCCTTCGCGTCTTTTCTCGAGGAATTTGGGCCGGAACTTGTAAATGGCACTCTTGGGAGGAAGAGGCGGAAGTGACGACCTGGTTGACTGAGGATAGGCTTTGACCAACTTGGCTCGAAGCTCATCGAACTCGGAATATCGCTTTCGAATTGTCATGGGGCCTCCATCAAGCGTCTGAACATTAACATTGTATACCACGTAGGCGCCCACTCCGGTAGGGTTCCCTTGGACGATGACATATTCATCAATGGAGATTGATTTTGCCCAGAGCGCCGCCCTGCTAGGTTCTCGGGATAAGGTATGATCCTCGAGAGAGATGGGGGGAGGTCGGGTGATGGTCAGCTCATCAGAGGATGGCTCTCTATTAGGTTGCCAGTAGGGTGGAGGGGTAGACGAGCCTTGAAGCCAGTCGCCAGACGGTTCAGCGCCGGGCGCAGCTACGGGTTCTCGTTTCGGTTGATCTGAAACCAAAGTGGCGATTGGGACGGAACGAGAGTTCTCCATGCATGTGCGCAGTCGCAGACCCGATCTACGGTGTTTCCAAAGGGGGACACTGCCGGAGAGTTTTTAGTGTGGCTAGGTGTGGTCAATGGATCATGAGGTAAAGCTGGGATGTTCACGCAGCGGGCGTGATCTGGACAGAGATCCCCCGCCTCCAGGAAGGATTTTGTGAGGCAAGTAAGGTGACGAACTCTGCAAATGTTTCAGAGCAAAAAATGAAGGATTGAAAAAAAGGTTGCAAAAGCCCGAAAAACCCGCAGCTAGAAAGATGGCACCAATGCAGGTGACTGTATTGAGCAAAGCGTCAGGTGAGGCGCCATTCTTTGATGTTGTCCACTAGCTATCTTGGGGTACAGCAAGGGAATAATACGAGTCGGAAGGAAAGTGGAATGGCCAAGAGCAGCATTGATCTGAGTGTTGATCTCTTTATTTCCCGTGGAAGTTGATCAAAATGACAAACACTGGCACCTCGATGATACAATTAGCGGAAGGATAGATGGGATTTACTACCAAATACCAATACCGAAGACGGAGTCCTCTAGAAGGTTGGTATCTGGGTAGCCACCGCCGAGAGCGCATCAACGAACGCCTCTCTGGAACTCTGGAACTTGGGCCAAGGGCACCAAATGCACCAAGGGCAAACAAGGATGTGGAGATCATGTGCGTTCTATCATCTTACGAGGTGAGTCTAACCTCCAAGTAGAAGCACCTACAGAGGTCACTGGGGTCGCTAGTTATAGGGCTCTTGGGTGCCATTGGCGCTGGAACTGCGCGCCGTGGAGCCCCCGGAATTTGGGCACCAGCTACTATTGGACATCATGCACCTTTACCCTCGACAAAGTGTTTGACAGCTCCGCAAAACACCACGGACTTTCTGTCAACGCCTGAGACAAGTCAACCTCCTTCTGCACGCATGTGTGCCACAGTCATGCACTTGAGACTTTTGTTGCTGGGGCACATACTACAGAGAAGGTCCCTGTGATGGGCTAGAATCTCTTAGCCTCTGGAGAACGATGCTGGGGACATTCTCAGTGGCGGGAAGTGAGCCTGCCCCCCAACCCGACCAAGTGGCTTCAACACCAACCCAAACCGGTGATGGTGATGGTTGGATAGTGGCATACCACTCTCGCCAGAACCCTTGCCTCCTCCGCCCTTTTTTATGGGCATGTCTGCTGCTCGCTACAACTACTGCTGTTTCTGCTGCTCGCTCTCTTCACTTCTTCCTTCAAGTAACAAACCTCATTTTCTCTCGTTCTTCAAGGTAACCAGCAATATTTTTCTGCTGCATTCATTATCTCTTCCACTTTCTTTCCCACGTCCTCCAGCACCTAATAACAACCAAACTCGCCTTGATACGGTGATTCTTTTGCCAGAGATTAAAAAGCAGCTCTCTTAATCAATATGCAATACTTCCTTGTCACCGCTGCCCTTGCTTCTTTGGCCCGGCTGGCCATCACACAGACCATTGACCCCAACTCAGTACCTCTATCAACAAGACGTGAGTCTTTGGTCTCTCTGCCACTTGAATGTTGCTGATGGTCGTGTGAACAGAATCGTGGTGCAACTCACAGATAGCTCAATGTCCTCTGATTTGTCTGCAAGAGGCCGACAATTCTGCAGCCACCTACGACAATTCCTGTGACCCTGTTGCCCTCACTTATTCTTGCATATGCTCCAACGGTCTCTCTCCCAACGCCTCCGAATACTCCCAAACCCTCCCCTATTATATCTGCACAGAGTACAACACCCAATGTCAACAGGCTTGCGGTACCGACAATAGCTGTGCAGCAGCATGCGTACAAAATCATCCGTGTGGAGCACTCAACCCAACAAGAGTAAATACAAGCACAATCACAACAATGCCTTCCACCACAACAGCCGTGGGGTCTGCGGCTTCTACTGCCTCTGACGGGGTTGTATACACTGGCTTTGGAGGTGGCTCGTCTGCTACGACAACTGCTGCTTCAGATGGAAACAGCGGATCTGGTAGCTCTGCTGCATCAAGGCTGGTGATCGACATTGGACAGGTCTATGGTCTTGGTGTCGTTGCAGCTGGCATCTTTGTCGGCTTCAGCTGCATGCTCTGATACATCTTCAAAGAAAGAGACTTTTACGCTAGTGAAGGTTGGAAAACGATCTGCCTGGATACCCGGACCCAGGCCGGTGCAGTCGGAAATTTTGGTCGAAAAGTCAGTTGTGAAGCATTTTTGGCAGAGGCGCTGGTATGGATGCTTTTTAATGGCATTGACGGCATTAGCGCCACCCTTCGGCCCTTCGGGGAAAGCAAGAGCGTTGTAAGGAAAGAGAGGGCATCATGGGCATACCTCGAACAATCTAATATTAATCATGACTGAAGACTCGGTTTAGTGTGTTTGTATCGTCGTAAGATTTTGTCCTCTGTTGCCCCGTCAACCGTGCCAAACTGCCGAAGTTTTGCCGGCACTTGCGTTTGTAGCTTCAATCCACAACTGCGGCGCGTCTTCGCAGCCAAATAAAGTCCTTCGAACAATAGTGTCATCAACCATGAGCACACCCAACAATATCAATACGCAACGATAGTGCTCTTTATGGCTGCCTATATCTCGCCGTCTCCAGCGTCACTGGTTTCCTCGTCCAGCAATTCTCGTCGACCGCAACGACCTGCAACGCGACCCTTAACAGCCCGTGCTCATCAAGGTCCAACTGTAGCACCCTATACTAAGCAACAATTCGACCAAAGTATTACGGGAGACAGCTCGGACGATGAAGATCTTGCGCCCATTAAACTAAGCGCTGAGGCGCAAGCTATTTTAGGTGAAGACAATGAGCAATTGGGAGCCGAGAAGGAGAACGTACAACCAGATCGACACAATGTGAAGCCGTCTGGCGCAGGTTACTCTAGGAGAAGAAGCAGAGGAACGCCACTGGAAATTTTGAGATCCTCAAGTCCACCTCATCAAAGAGATGGTAGTCCTGCCCCTCGAAACATTTCTGTTAGCTCCGCGTCTCGCCCTGTGCAGCCCGGAGTCTTGGGAAGAGATGGATCGTTCATGTACAAAATCCATGACAAGTCGTCAGCAGGTGATCATGCTTTACGCCACATTTCAGAAACGCCGGCACCTAGAGTCCGGCGTATCCGTATCAGTGATGCCAGGCGGCTATCGAGATCTCCTCCATCAGGTGAGGCGGACAAGGGCGAACAAGTCGAGCAGGCTCCCGAAACTTCAAAAAGGTCAATCAGCCCAAGATCTAGCCTTCGCGGACACCTCGATGAGCAGAATTCTGCCGTCCCGTCGACAATCAGCCGATCTCGAAAACCGGACGAAAATGGTGCTCAAAGTACCATGCGAGTTCGACGAATCGGAGGCGCGTTACTGAACAGACCTGTAAGAAGAGGCATGGTGCGTCGTCCCAGCGAAGACGAGGATGTTCATATGGAAGGCCAAGATCAACCACAGCCTGATACTCCTGAGATGGAAATGGGTCGACGAGCCAAAGAGCCTGAGTTACAAGATTTGCCCGACGATTTGCTTGCGCTGAGGGCAAGTCCTGAAGGGCCAGCTGAATATTCCCTAGGAAGCACTTCTCCCAAAAAGAAAGAACCCGTTGTATCACGAGTTACTTCGCCGTCCCAACCGGGATCGACTCACCAAGCCAACCCTACACCTGCTGTGCGTCATTCTCAGTCCTTGTCCAGATCATCGAGCTCCCAGAAAAGACCTGTTTTCAAAATCCCACCTTTGCCAGCCCTTCCGTTGACGGAAGACCAGGAGAATGAGCCTCCTCCAACCTTTCGAAGGAGCAAACCATCGGCGGCAATCTTGGATTTTCAAGAAGACGGTGCTCCACTGGAGAAGAAACAGGTTGCTCCTGGGTCAGGGCACGCTTCTCCATCTCGTCAGCCTCTCGCTTCACGGTCTAATAACACACCTCACAGACCTGCACCAGCCCCACCGCCAAAAATGTCCATTCTTGATGCAGCGACGTCGAATGCGGGCTCTCGCAACAAGAAATCCGTCCACTACGTGCTGAACGGAAAGACCTATCGGCGGCTTGATTGCATAGGCAGGGGTGGTTCGTCAAGAGTTTTCCGCATCATGGCAGAGAATTACAAGATTTTCGCCCTCAAACGAGTGAATCTCGAGGAAGCCGACATGGCTGCAATCGTAGGCTACAAGGGCGAAATTGACCTCTTGAAAAAGCTCGAAAACGTGGATCGTGTTATCAGACTTTACGACTACGAGATCAACGAAGAAAAAGGGGTGCTCAGTGTCATGATGGAGCTGGGCGAGACCGACTTTAACAAAATGCTGAATGAGCAACTGAAGACCGAGAATGCCAAACTGGATATTACTTTCACCAGGCACTATTGGAAAGAAATGCTGGAATGCGTCCAGGCGGTGCACGATTACGACATTGTTCATTCAGACCTTAAGCCCGCCAACTTCCTTCTCGTCAAGGGTCAACTCAAGTTGATTGATTTTGGCATTGCTAATGCTATCCAAGAAAACACAGTCAACGTGCATCGAGAAAATCAAATCGGCACGCCTAATTATATGTCTCCAGAATCCCTGGTTTGTCATACGCCCGCCGCGGGATCACAGCAACCCCCGGGCACGAAACTACTCAAACTCGGCAAGCCCAGTGATGTTTGGAGTCTGGGTTGTATCCTTTATCAAATGACCTACGGCCAACCCCCGTTCGCCCATATCCAGAAGCAGTTCGAGCGCATCATGTCCATCCCCAACCCGAAGGTCGAGATTTCATTCCCGTCCACAGGGATTGGTGGGTCTGTGGTTCCCTTTGGGCTCATCAAGACCCTGAAACGGTGCCTCACGCGCGAACAATCTCTGAGGCCCACGATCAAGGAGCTATTATCTGAAACGGACCCGTTCTTGAACCCTGTCGCCATTTCCCCGGAGATGTTGGGCAGGGTGATCGGGAATGTCGTGGGCTATTGTCGACGAAGAGAGGAGGCGTTGAAAGCCAAGGGCGAGATTGTGTGCAAAGAAGGAGAGGAAGTCAGTTGTCTGCCGAGTGACCAGGAGATGGTTGGCTGGCCTGGAGCGTTTTATGAGAAGTTGCGGCAGGCGAATTTGGAGGGAACAGCATGGTAGTAGTTTGTATTGAATGATAATGCAGGGGCAGGGGACATGATGAGTTGATACAAGAGGCATTGTTGGATATTTGGCCGCATTGATCGTGGTCAAGGGTTCTGGCAGCTTTGGGAATTCAACTGCTTGTATTGTTTGGGATGGATTCCTGAGGACGTTTGAAACTTTTGAGCTTTGACTACTGAGTTTCTGAGGCTCGAAAAGCTCCATCCTTTCTCACTCCTGTCCTCGCCGCCGTTTTTCTCTCTGCTTGTCTCCGGTCATGCTGTCAAGAGTCTGGTCTGGGAATGCTGGGCACAGCACCCCTTTCTGCGTAGAAAACTGACGGAAGATGGCTGTTTAGACTGGTTTCAGAATCCCTGCCCTGCCGTCCGTCGTCTGGGGATGTACATGTTTAGTGGCGACGGACATTTTCCCAGCTTGTCGGCGAGGTAGGTATGCACACATACACGCGTCGAACGCTAATATAAACATACGGAGAAGTAAAGAAATATCAGAAGTCAAAATCGCGCGAAGCTGTTTGGGAGGTATTCATTCTGTCTTTTTAGGGGGTTTTCAGTATTCCTGATATCAAAAACTGGAAGACTCCTAAGCTGAACGTCGTTTGGTTTGAATATTCCATACCACCGAAATTTTCGGGGAGAGAAAAATGTGTGCTCATAAACAAGCACCTCAAGCGTCCGGAATCTCGATCTGACTGCTCCGCCTGGCCAACATGACGGATGCGCCGTGATCGAAGCTCCATTTCCGCCGCCTCGCGTTGGCCAGCCGGTAATTCCTCTGCGTGATGCCCATGACTTCGAGGATCGCACTCGCGACGTGGCCCGCAAAGGCTTCGTCGTTGATGTGCAAATCGTGCTTCTCCACCTCGATCTCGGTGGCTTCGAGGCCCTCTTGAATCGTGTCGAAGAGCGCCTTGTCGGCCTCTTCGTCGAAGAACGGCTGGTTGGCCGCGTCCAGCATGCTTATGCCCTTCTCCGGAATCAGGACACGGATGGTCCCCGGGTTGGTGGCATTGGCGGATAGTTTGTCGACGATAAATTGACCAATCTTTCTGTTCTCGTCCGGTGTCGTCCTCATCAGCGTGACGGCCGGGTTGTGCACGAACAATTGCCGGTCCTTGTATCTCTCCGGCACGGTGTCCTTGGGCCCAAAGTTGACCATGTCACAGGCTCCGACGGAGACGATCATGGGAAGACCCTTCTTGGCTGCAATCTCGAGCCGGTCGGGCCCTGCAGTCAAGACGCCGCCAAAGAGCTCGTCGGGGATTTCTGTGGTGGTCAGATCAACCACGGCGTCAATCTGCCCTTCCGCAATGAGACGTTCCATGGCGCGGCCGCCGGAGCCAGTTGCGTGGAAGACGTAGATCTCATAGTCGGAAGCGTCATGGGGCGCCGAGGTGAGGATGTGACGCACCGCGTCGACGCAGGGCGTGGTATTGCCAAACATGGTGATGGCAATACGCTTACCTTTGGCGGTAACGGCAGAAGCGTCGACAAGAGATTTGGCATACGATACTGTCATGGCGGAGATGGCAGCAGCGGCATTGGACAAAATGCGCTTGAGGATGGAATTCACCCCTGCAATGTCTACAACACTGTACATCATGGTAATGTCGGTTTCCTCGACGTAGTGCTTGATGTCACCGCTTGCCATGGTCGACACCATGAGCTTGGGGAATCCGACGGGACATGCGAGGCGCATCAAGGCCGTTGCGAGCGACGAACCACTGCTCCCGCCTGCAGAGACAATGCCTTGAACAGCCGATCTCGAGACCAGGTCTTTGACCACGGGCGTGCATATTTCGATGGCCTTGTCGATGTACTCGCCGCGAGAGAGCTCTTTCAAGGTGGAGCTATGCTGTTCAAGAGGAGAAATGACCTCGCCTGACGCGAGACTGTCTAACGGCGCCCTCAGTTTGGCTGGTATGCTGTGACTAACATTGAGAATCTTGGTGCTGCACGTCCCTTCGGCAAGGATTTGCTCTCTGAGGAAGAGTATTTCGTCAAGCTTGGTGTCGGGTGTACCGACGATGAGGACGGTAGGTTTCACCATGATGGAAGTATACGGAGGAGGAGCTCAGTGTGTCGTCTTCTATAGGCGCAGGAGGGACTTGAGAGGAGTAGAAGCTATCCACCGAGGGACATGATAAGAGGCTTAGGACCGAAGAAGCTTCTGCGAGAGCTGCGAGGTTGTTTTTGAACAGAGGCTGCTTGCTCGTAGTACATACATTTACTGGCAATCTCCATCCAATACATGGTCGACATGCCTTCGCCCCTCGTTGCGGGATTCGGATACCATCACCACCTGCGCCATCATTCGCCAAAAATCCCCGCTTCATCCCCACCGCCTCCGCATGATTGAGATGGTTGGACACAGATGACTATTATGACGTTGTACGTACGTGTACGTGTACGACGACGAGGACGAACTTCGTCCGTATGATCGACCCAAGGAGGCTAACCCCCCACAAGTTGATGAGATCAAGTTGAACTGATCACGACCAGAACATCAATCTCAACCATGGCACCCCCTTCCTCGCGAGCCGAAGTCCTCTCCCATCTCAGGAACCAGATCAAGAATGGCAGGCCAATAGTTGGAGCAGGGGCAGGCATAGGGTTATCAGCCAAGTTCATCGAGGCAGGAGGCGGCGATCTTATCATCATCTACAACTCGGGTCGCTTTCGAATGGCCGGGAGGGGTTCGCTCGCTGGCCTTATGCCGTACGGAGATGCCAATGCCGTCGTTGTGGACATGGCAAGGGAGGTTCTTCCTGTGGTCAACAAAACCGGAGTTCTTGCTGGTGTCTGCGCGTCGGACCCATTTCGCATAATCCCCTCGTTCCTTCAAGAACTGAAAAACATGGGATTCTGCGGTGTCCAGAACTTCCCCACCGTTGGTCTCATTGACGGCAGCTTCCGAGCGAATCTCGAGGAAACAGGGATGGGTTTCGACAAGGAGGTCGCCATGATTGCAGAAGCCCGCAAACTTGACCTCCTGACCACGCCATATGCCTTTAATGTCAAAGAAGCTGAGCAAATGACTCAGGCCGGTGCAGACGTGTTGGTGTGCCACATGGGTTTGACGACCTCGGGAAGCATAGGCGCAAAGACTGGGAAGACTCTGGACGAATGTGTCGAGCTGATTCAGGAGATGAGAGATGCTGCGACCAAAATCAACCCCGACATCATCATCCTCTGTCACGGCGGACCCATCGCTGAACCCAAGGATGCTGGTTATGTGCTCAGTCGTGTCAAGGGAATTCACGGCTTCTATGGTGCAAGTAGCATGGAGAGATTGCCAGTGGAAATCGCCATCACGAACACGACCAAGGAATTCAAAAGTTTGGAGATGAGACAGTAATACAACAGGGGTTTGAATCTCGTTCAGGATCTGGCCCGACATCAGCCCTGCAACAGCAGCAGCCAGTACGTGAACATCAGAGAGATAATTCGTCGCATAGGTGCAGGGAGCATCCTGGTCTGACCAACGACATTCTGATCTTCACCAGACTATCTAATAATAACCCAGGTCGCACACCCCTTGCGCGCATGTTTCCCAACATCCAAAATCCTTGACTCGTGTGACTACTGCTCCTTTGCTTTGTTCACCTTACCTACTTGTATATACTGCTACTCACAAAACTTGCGATAAGATAACGAGCCTGGCTACTAGGCGGGCAGATGATGTGGTCCGCCAGCTCGCACCGTCCGGGGTGGTACCCAAAAATTGAGAAGAGACAGGGGTGGAGGCTTGAGCCTCTCGGAAGGTACAGCAGGGGCCAAGCTGCAATCAGCCTTGTGCCAAGTGCAGAGCTGTGAGGCTGGGATGGAGAAGCAAAGCATCACCATTTTCCTCTTGACCAAGACCAATTACCTTCTGGACGAAGCCTCTTAGTAGTATTTTCTAGTCCAGGTGCTGTAGGCAGGTACAATTTCACTTATATAATAGCCTCAGGACCCCTGAAACTAGCGCCACTATCGCAGCAAAGTTCGCTTATCAGACCATCTTTGTCCGATAGAGTACCAAGAAACGTTGTCCAACAAGCAAATATGGCCCACCGCAGTTTACGTTCCGTAAATTGGACATGCTACCTACCCACATCGTTCTCTATACTAGAACTCGGAACTCATACCCGATAGCCGGCGCTGAGAATCCTCGAGCAGAAAGCTCCGCGCTCGTGCTATGCCGCTACCTCTGCCTCACCAGCTCGAGTTTGAATTTCGAGGCAGCAAAATGCTTCAACCGACAAATTCCACGGATCAATCATTCATCCAGCGTGGTAACCCAATTATCGTGGACAAATTCCGCCCGATTGCCAAGAGTTGTGCCAAGAAACCTTCTCCCTGTCATTTCCCTTCCCGCCTTCAGCTACCTCGTACAAGTACCTCATTTCCTACTCGCGCTATGAATTGTGACAACGGTTCGTGCGCCTATAGAGAGGCCAGCGCTGATCGTCCTTTCAAATTTTAATGCCGTGTTTTCGTTGGCTCTTTACAATGGCTCTTTACAGGGTACCGGCACCATACTCTGAGAGACCACCTACCAGACAGCTGTTTTCTTCGGATTTATCCTTTCAGTGCCCAGCCAGACAAGGCTACTTGGCCCCTAATCACTCTTGGTGACAAGGAACTACCTTTTTCCCTGCAAGCGAATCGCTTTGCACGTGGTATACTCTTTTGTATAGCCCGTTGCTCTTCCAAGAACGTTGGTGTGAACTTTGAGCATGCTTCAACGAAGCAGATGAAAATTCGGACCAGGTCAACCCCCCTCCTGCCAAACGGACGTATCCGTATTCGGGTTTCTACGAGTGGTTGGGGCGGTATCTGCGTGGTAAGAGGTACTCAGTAGAGCGACTAGGTATATTTCATGGAACAGCCACCACCTTCCATGGAACTAAAGTACATTTCTCTTCCAAACCAAGTTTTGGGTGCTTTTTCGTCGCTCGCTACATTCCAGTCGCTCTTTCAAGTCACTCGTTTCGTTGTTTCTAAAACTTCACCATGCTCTTCACCAAAACCCTCGCTTTTTCTTCACTCATACTCTTGGCTGCAGCCCAAGGGGATGCCGTCTTCAAAGGTCTGCCCGACGACGGTCGGACGAGGACGCCAACCTCAACGAGCAAGCTCATGTCGCGGCGCGATCTGAATAAACGCTGCACAGGAACCTGTGAGGAATGCTTCGGCGGTGGTTATACCCTCTGTCCAGGGAGTGCGATCTACTGCTATTTGCCTGGAGATGATACCTATGGGCTGGATTCGTGCGACCTCGATAGCTCCGATGACGGGTTATCCACGACTAATACTGCCACCGCACCGGCATCGACCTCAACCAGCCTGAGTGGCCTCGACGATATCTGTTACCAGACCGGTGCGACTTGTGCGTCATGCTTTGGCTCCAGTTATCTCGAGTGCCCGGATGGATATCACTGCTACGATCCGTCGGATCCTTTGTACGATACCTGCCCCGAGGAGAGCACAAGTTCTGGTGGTGGCGGCAGCAGCAGCAGCAGCACCTGCGCCGAAATCTACGGAGAGGGAAATATCCCTTGCGGATCAGATTCATGCTATAACCCGGACGACGGCGAGTCTTGCTGCGCGGGAGGATGTAAGTTGCTGCCCTCGAGATAGTCTTTGTCTTTATTGGGTGCTAACGTTCGACCTCTATCAGACTACTGTGAAGATGGATACACCTGCTCTAGCACGCTCGGAAAATGCAGTTACGTCGGTAGCAGCTCGTCCTTTGGAACGACGACATCCGACCTCGTCTTTACGACGCCTACCAGCGCCTTATTCTCCAGCACTCGGAGCACTATTGCGACTACGACCAGCACCGACACTTCGCTAGAAACCGGTGTCAGTCAATTCTCCGAGTCCAACGGTGCAAGTGGTTTCGGGGCCGCCAAGGGTCTGTTGATTGCTGCTGGTGTTGGTGTATTGGTGCTGTAGGACGATGCATGATCTTCCCGTGGAAGGATTAGTGGCGACAGGTTGGACACAAATCAACGACCTGACAAACTTGTAATTGAATGAGTCTATTTTGAGATATTTATGAGGGGTCAAATGAGTAAATCAACACCTTTGTGAGGATTCTGGAGTGCCATCTGTCTATCGTCTAAGAGTGTCTATCGTGATGCAAGTCAAAATCCTGTGCCGCCTCGTATCAGTGACTTCCCTCGGATTATCTGTTTTTCCGAATTGGCTGCGCTACTGGATCAGTCACTAAGTTCATTTTCCCATCTCAATCATGACCTGTTTGTTCATTGCTTTCCGACCTGAGTTTTCTCATCTTCTTGCAGAGACTACTTGCGGTACTCAACATGCCTCACGCTGCCCCCTCGCGCGTTGCGCCCACCGCAACATCCGACCTCGAAGCCGGCGCGGTCCTCAAACTCGGCGAGTTCCAGAACGAAGTCACGCTCAATCTCTCTGAAGCGCGCATCATCCTGCAAAAGACTCTCGCGACGCGGGCGGCTCGAGGCGGTGGCTACGAGGAGACCGAAGTCACTGCAAAGACACGCGACTACTTGGAGATCTTTGCGGTGTTTAAAGATCTGGCCGAGGCGCAACAGGTGGAAGGAATCATCAATTCGTACGGTGAAAACCTGGAGCGATTTGAAAAGTCTCAGTTGGGTAGCTTGGTGCCGACTTGTTCGGATGAAGCAAAGGCGCTGATTCCAAGCTTGGAGAAGAAGGTCGAAGATGGCGTCGTGTCAGAGGAGGAGTTGGAGGGTATCTGTAGGGAACTGCAGCGGTTGAAGAGACAGGCTCAGCTTTGATTCTACCTGATGTTTGAGGAATCACACCAACTTCAAGTGATTACTCGACGGCTCAATCAATCTGCAGGGCCAGCTCACATGACTACTGCATCGCCGCAGTCACCGTTGGCAGGGTTGTACGAATGACGACGCACAGCAATCCCAAAGCGCAAACGACAACGTTGCACCATAAACATACACGCAAATTCAGGTTCTCCCAGAGATGCTGACGACGCATGAAGGAAATGTTGGCAGAGTCCTACCAATATCGCGCCATGAGTCGAGCGATACGTGGCAGTTGCGGTCTCACGCTGGCCGTCATAGCGACCTGTCTCGGGGATTTCACAGGATACCTGGGCTTTGGAGGATTTGCTACTCTCGAAACACAAATTGTCTGAGCTATTCCCACCAACGCAGAGATCACAGTCGGACAATCGGTGGAGACTTCCAGGTGTGCCCAAACGCTCCGGCTCACCATACTTGGACGATGCGTTTGGATAGGAAACAAAGGAGCGCTATCGCGTGCTGCAGTGAAGAGGAGCAATGGTCAATGGCTGTGAAGTCTTTACTGAGCAATACCCAAAATTTCTCCTCTGTTTCCTCCAACTCATCGTGTTCTGATATTAAATCACCTTGTCCGTCTCGCCATCCAGCAACTCCGACTTCACCCAGCTTCGTTGAAACTTCCCAGACGCAAATATTTATAGCGCGGTGACATCTAAAATTGCGGATTCAATTCCCATCGGTGGCTTCGAACAGCTTCATGGAACCCCTCGGATCTCGGTTCTCGATGAGCTTTTATCGATCGTCCGAAGATTCGCAATCAGATACAGAATCTATGTCTGCAACTGCAAATCACCCAAGCTGCACGTCCATGACCTCTGTCTCTGCAACAACTGGAGCAGCCGGGACACCACTGGCGCCACCTCTGTCTCTGAAGACGAAGAGTTCGCAGTCCTCGATATCCACCTGCAGTTCTGAATCTTCCTGGAAATCGCTGTCGACAATTCACCCAGGCTGGAATGAACCTCCTAGGCTATTTCGCTTGAGCGACTCGTTACCCTCGAGATGTTCAAGAAATGGTCCACCCTCGAACTCCCCCTTACGTGACACACCAAAAGCAGAGCGCAGCTTGAGGACCTCAGTCTCTTCCGACTCGTTGTGGCGGTCACTGTCTGGCATGCGTGCTTCCTGGAACGAGCCTTACAGACCACCTCAACCACTCCCGTCCTCCAGTGCGATTCACTCGGCATCCGCCAGGCAAGCATCACGACGGGAGGGTGAATGGGAGCCTCTCATCCCTCCAACGCCAGTAACGCTGTTGACATTCGACGATTCTTGGCTCTGTTGGAACCCATACCCGATATGTGAGCGGTTGGCAATCGTGACCACCACGTGGATCGAATCGTGTTTTGAGGTCGCCGGGTCAAGAGGACAGACTACTCCTCCGTCTTTGCATTTCGATGCACGAGACGAGAAGAAATGAGAAACGTTACAGATTGATTGTTCAATCGGGTCATTTTTTCCCTTTTGAATTCTCGTTCCCCTTGTCTGTCGCAAGTACCCAAATCCTTCCAGAAACTGATATTCAGTGACTTTCTCTCCTTCTCTCCCTCCCTCCCTCTATCTGTGTCCTGGTGTTTTGCTCGTCCGCATTTGTTTGACTGTCCCTGTGGCCACCCTCCTCTCTCCCCCCTCTCTCGCAACCCAGCCTTTCGTTTGCTTGCCACCCGCTGTCACCGCTGCCTCTTGGTAGAAGTCACCTACAAATACACCCACCCTCTTATGTTCCAGACTTTTTGTCACTGTGACCAGTGATCTCTCGCCAGATGTGTCGAGGTGTCGGTATGTCGATACGTCGACGTGTGACAATTGCCCGTGGTGACGGCAGGACAGTCCATTCTGGTCTGGTTGAATCCTGGTCGGTGATATGGTCTGTGATACGTCTGATATGGATGCCCACTGGCGATTTCTACTTAAAAATGACCTCTTCTCGCTGTCTTTCCTTTCGCTATGTTTTCTCGACTGCCCGACTTTTGGCTTCGTCCAGACCATTGAGACACTTGCATACAACGTGCCCGAAACCACACAGGATAGCAGGGGATTTATCTATCTATCAAGCAGACTGAAAGATCGAGCGACCAACCTTTGACCGGAACCAAAGGGAGGAGGGTACCCCTGATACTGTACTGAGAAGCAAAGCCGGACGAAGAAGGAGACGCAACGACCAGCGGTATCAAGATGCGCATCCCACTCAGCTCACGGGTAAGTATTGAGGTCTCAAGTTCTTCTGTTCGCGGGATCTGCTTTACTTTGCCTCGCCTTGCTCTGCTTTGCTTTGCTCTAGCAGATCCAACTTCTTCCCATCGCCAGACTAACAAACCCAAAAAAGCAAATAACCTACACCAGAACCACGGTCCATTTACCCCACGGACGCCGACACGTCCGCGAGGAGGAAGAAATCATAGTGCGCACGCGTGGTCGTCGTCGTCCGCGGTCGCCGTCGCCGTCACCGTCAAGGTCACCCTCGCGGTTACGCCCGCCATCACGTCCGACGTCGCTCGCACCGCTTCCGTCCCTCGCACTACTTCCGTTGTCGCGGTCGTCATCTCCTCCTCCCTCTAGACCCATCCTGAGAGACACGAGATATCCCCATACATTTTACGAAGAGAACCCCCTGCGTCGGCGATCTTATGAGCGCGAGCGGACTCGGTCGCGGTCGCGGTCGCGGTTATGGTCAACTGTCCGAATCCGACCCGAGGAGTCTGTCGCGCGTGAGCACCTTGGTCTTCCCCTTCGTCTTCGTCTTCACTCTCCGCCACGGCCAGGAACCGGCCGAGGGCTATTTGGCGAGCAACCCGGGTTTCGGGGCGGGTATTCGCCGCCGCCGGTGAGGTTGGAAGGGGGGTTTTCCAGCGGGAGTAGGAGTAGAAGCAGGAGAAGAAGTCGAAGTCGAAACAGGAGCCGGAGGAGAAGTCGGAGTCGAAGAAGGAGGAGCCGAAGCCATCACGACCATCGCTGCACCCACCACGCACGATCCCGATCCCGATACCGAGCCAGCTCGAGATCCATGTCTCACGACGCCAACAGGGCATTCACCACACTAGGCACGGCGCTCACGATCCGCGTCCGCGACCCCGACCCCGACTCCGACAGCGAGGTGAGAAGGATCCTGGACGAGAGTCGTCTGCGAGGTCGAGCTTGAATTCGCTATCGAGCTCGAGCTGGAGACGGTAGGGCTGTGCATGGGCACCATGGGGCAGACGATGCGGCGAGAGCGAACAGCTGTGACGACGGAGTAGGGGAGCAATTCACCATCAGTGGCACCTCGTACTACTACATGCGCAGTGATCGACACCTGATTTATACATATCTTCACACACCGATACACCATCCCTTGTTTACCTACCAACATACATACTATATACGGGAGTTTGAGGAGAGGAGTAGATTCAGTCTTGATAATCTCAAACATCATCGTCCAGGTCTGCACCAAGTTGAGTCAGGTCAAGTCAGGTCAAGTCATTATATCACGACGTCTCCTGCCACATTCTCGCTCATACCAGTTTTCTTTTTGCCAACTAGGCCTGAAAGATTTACATTACCCGTGCCCCAAGACCATCAACAGATGTCTTCCTTCTCGGCTAAATACCCCAGCTCATACAGTCTTGTAGGGAGCCAACCCGGCGGGTGGGCAGGCGGACAGAGCCTTCAGATTGATTGAGGTTCATTCACTCCGCTGACAAAACTTGTGTGGCTTCTCTGCTCGAGGCGGCGCAGTTATTCGCTGGTCCAGGAATTCGAGTCCAGTGCAGCAACCTTTCAAAGACGATCACAAAGAACTGGCAATGCAGATGAGTCCTCCTGCACCAATCAATCGAGCGAGACGATGATGGTGCAGGCGACTAGTGAACGACAGAAGACCGAGTTGGAGCTGCATTGGTGCTGGAGCTTCTCTCCGATGGTCGGCATACAGTTGGCATGTGGAGATGTGCAGAGCAGAGGCGGACCATTGACGAGCCATGGAGGCCAGCCGCCTTAGTGAGTTGCTTTATCGACGGTCAATCCTTCAAGGCTGCGCGAACGCAACGCTGGCCGGTATGCGAAAGCTCGCGCAAAACATTTTCTTCTTCGGCGCAACAAGTCGGACAAATCGAACCTGCATGTCCAGCTCTGGATCATCGAACTTCACCGGAGCTCCGATATGCTGCGATATTCTTTCACAGATCTCTTGGATCTCTTCTTCCTCAGAGGCAAATTTCGTCTGAAACAAGTACAGGTGAATCAACGGCAAACCTCTCGAGGTGTGTGGTTTGAATTCGGCCTCTCGACCGTGATAGAGGCCTCGAAATGCATCTAAAAACTCGATGGCGCTGGCCGGCAGATTCATGACATAGTGAGCGAACGCATTCGGTTCTTTGAGAACTTTTGCTGCGGCATCAGCCTCTTTGCGACGCGCTTGCATCTCTTCTTTGGTCAATTTCCGCGAAATCTTCAACTTGGAGGGCAGTCGTGCTTCTCGTGGAGAGTGCTGTAAGTCTCTGGTTGCGGTGCGGATGAAAGCCCTGCCGTCCTCGCAGGACGCTGACACGAAGTCGCTGACCTTGTTAGACTTGATGGCGTCTTCAAGGCTTTGGTACGAGTCGGGATTGAGATCGTTCGCCCTGACAAAGACCTTGCGTTTACCTGCCGGCACAGCAAATGGTCCAACACCGGCCATAACGTCACAGACAGCCTCACCCTCCTTGAACTGCTCAAAGAGCCGAGAATGTTCAGTACCTAGTCGAGAGTTCCAGTACACTTTCCCGAAGTTGAACTTGAACTCGCAACCAGACTCGTGGACTGTAACATCGAGGTCATCTGGGCCGGCAATGACTTCATATGGAAATGTTCGAAAGACGGATTCGGTACCAACATCGAATGTCTTATTGATGACGGTGGTGATGTTGGGATTCTTGTCCACCAAGATCTGTCCAATTATATATTTGTAAGGCAAATATGCCTCGCGCAGGTTCACGTGAGCTTTGCTAAGTCAGTACGGGGCATCAAGAACGTAGGTAGGGAGACGTACCGACGTGGCCAACCTGAGCAAAACCTGCAGGGGTTTCCTTTTCTTCCTCCGGGATCTCAGGCAGAACTGCCTCGAGAATATTATCTAGCGGGACGGGTTAGATTCCGAACATAACTCTGCAGAGGTCATTCCTGACCACTCACGTACGCATAGTCCAGTCGTCATATGTGAGTGTTAAATCGTAAGGTCGTAAGCTGGCCAGTCGTTCTTCCACCAGCCTCGAGATGGTCTGTGACCATGTTTTCCGCTCTACACAATCCGTCAACAAACTCGCTCCCACGAATCATGGAGCCGTGCTCCTACGCACCGTTGGCGTCAATCCCAGGCCTGAGCAGAAGACACTTCGCTCCCTGGCCGACCGAGTCGTCATCGCGCAACGGCTTAATTGGACTGACTCGGAGCAAGTCCTGCGACTTTTCGAGTTCCCTTCTGATGGCCGTGATCTGTCGGACATCCGGGATCGTAGCGGCGGCCAGAGGCACGACTTTGCGGAAGAACGACTTGTCCAGCGTCTGCATGGACCGGTTGACGGGCGGCAGGAAAATTTTGGGCAGGTCTGCGGAGTTGAGGTTCATCCTTCTGATTGTGGCATTGGCGATTTCTGGTGGAGTGGTCGAGAGGAGTCGACGTAAGAGGCTTGCCATGCGATACTCGCACTGGAAGCTCTTGGATTTCTCGTCAAGATGGTCGATGTACTGTATGTACGTGCCTAGCAAAGAGATGCTGGTTTCCTCTCATCTCGGTGCCAAGGCACTAACCATAAATGGGAATTACGGTTGAGCACAAGAGATAATGATGTATTTACGGACAAGCGATCACACACTTGTGCACCTCCTACGAAAGACAGAAGCCAAAGGACTTGATCAAAAGCACAATCAATGATACATCACGTCTTGGTCCACAACTTCAGCAAAGGTCCCTCTGACCCGTTGACAGGATCCTGCACCGGCAATGCCACACTTTGTATCTCGTGTCTATAGGCGTCGCCAACCTCGTTCTTCCCCAGCTCGCTGCGCCACTTGGGAGCTCCCTGTCCAGCGACGAATGTGTGAGCGTTCGATGGAGAGGCGCGCAAAGAATATTCCTCAGAGAACAGATGGGGAGGGTGGCGGCTATACATACCTCTGGGTAAACGCCAATGTATCTGTAGTCGGTGCTGCTCTGGAGACAGCAATGGCCCGTTCCAGCCGGGAGGACGATGACATCTCCGGCGTGCACCTCGATCTCCTCGCCGCCCGAGGTGTCGTTCGTGCCGCATCCGACCAGTATCCTCGATTCGCCCTGGAAAATGCCTGTTCAATGCCTCCCCACAAAAGAGATTGACACGGTCAGCACCGCGAAATGTGCTACGTTGAACTCCTGGCTGATCCTGGGGGAAAGAGAGAGGTCTCCTCTTCTTACCGTAGCACTCGTGCGTATTGGGATGAAAATGCCTGTACGCGATATGTCCCCAGGTGCCCTTCTTCTCCCAGGCGTGCGACTCGAGGAACTCGGTGGTTTTGGCTTCGGAGAGCGGCAGGGGCAGACAATCGCGATAGATCAGGACTGGCATGTCATTGTTGGGGCAATGCTTGTTGGGTCCGAGGTAATATGTCTCGGGCTCGAAACCCATCTTGTAGCCGTACGATGTTCGTGTATATCGTATAATCTCAACCTCTGGAACAGTGTGGTGGACGACTGGGGTTTAGCCTAACCGAGACTATGTACCTCGCATAGGGTGTGCTAGACACATAACTTTCGAGAAGAGGATCGGAGAATAGACAATATAGCATCAAGCATCATCGGCCTCGGGGGAGTTTTCCGGGGTCTGGATGAGTTTGCTGTTCTAAGTAAGAGAACCCCGCTCCTTTGACCACCACACGACACTTACAGGCACGGCTCATGGCTCTCCACGACTATTAGATAGGAATAAATACATCAAGTATACTGGCGCTCTGAACAAAAGCTTCTTAATCGAATGACTCTCTGGCCCTCGTGGCTTTTCACGCTCCCAGCTCTTCCCTCACTTGGTTGGTGACTGACATACTTTACGCGCCACGCGTTGAAGTGCATTGCAGTGCATGCATCATGACGTCGTTGATATCAAGGGAGAGTGACTTGCCTCCTCCTCCACCACCACCACCACCGCACATCCTAATTCCTCTGCCCGACACCAGACTTTCTATCAGGGTACATAGTGACCCTCGCTTACAAAGTCGGGACAGGATTGAGACCTCCTGAAAATTTGGGGAGAAAGAAACAGAGCCTCAGAGAGGGAAAGCGAAACTCAATATTAATGGCCAAACACACTCTCGATACATACTTTGTATCCTCGACGACGCCGAACAAAAAAGCACGCAAAGCTGCTAATGATTCGATCCAAGAACTGGCAGATACAGACAACAACTCCCCCCCGAGAGCTGTGATAGGGACGACAAACCACCCCACATATCCCTGGCCGATCCCTCACCTGCCCGTCCACGTCGTGTCGGAAATTGAACTGCTCGTCACGGCCCAGGGCAGAGAGATCCGGGACCAGCCACACCTGGACCTGGTGTACTTCCAGCCGTTCATCCCGCGATCGATCGAACGAGACGTGTTCAATTTCCTGCGCGCCGAGCTCTTCTTCTACCGTGTCAAATACACCATCAAGCGGTTCGGCAAGGAGACCTTGGTCAACACCCCGCGCTTCACCACCGTGTTCGGCATTGACGAGACGAGTCGCTTCGTGGACGGTGATGACAATGACGGGTCGCGGTCGCGCATCGTCGAGGCGTCGGACCCGTCAAAGCCAGTGCGCAGGGACAAGTATAAATGCCGACCACGGCCGATCCCGGAGTGCTTGGATCTGCTCCGCAGAGTGACCGAAGCCAACACCAACACCCAGTACAACTTCTGCCTGGTGAATTACTACGCCTCCGGAAGCGACAGCATCTCGTTCCACAGCGACGACGAGCGTTTCCTCGGCCCCGAACCCGCCATCGCGTCGTTCACGCTCGGCGCAAAGAGGGATTTCCTGATGAAGCATAAACCTCCCCGGGACGGCGAGCCGAAGCTGGAGACCAAGGACATCAAGTTGCCCCTGGCCAGTGGCGACATGATCCTGATGCGAGGCCCCACGCAGTCGAACTGGCTACACAGCATCCCGAAGCGAAAGGGCGGCGAGGCCAATAGAGGTCGAATCAACATCACCTTGCGCCGGGCCATGGTTCCAGCCGGCACAGAGAACTACTACCGATACAATGTCGGAGACGGCGGAGTGTACAGGTGGGATAGCTCCAAGAAGGCAATGCTCCCCTGGCCGTCAGGGGGACACGGTGCCGACTGACAAGCGACCTCATTGCGTCTTCCTCTTCCTCCTCTTGCTGGCGTCAAAAATGGCCCTGCCGACGATACTCGTGATGGAGCGATAGACGGTCTGGCCTTCGAGGGTGTGCGTCGTGACGCCAAAGACGACCAGGAACAGGATGGAAAGGATGCTGACCACGAGGAAACTCAGCCAGTACGTCTTGAGGCTGTACTTTTCGGCGATTTCGGGGAGCTGGATGGAAAAGTAGGCGGTCATGAGACTGACGGGGAGGAACAGGATGGTCGCTTTTGCCAGGAGGATCGTGGTCCGGGTGAGCCGCTCGACGGCCTGGGATTCTTTCAAGGCCACCAAGTTGAAGTTCTGCGTTTGTGTTAGTGGCAAATATTGAGAGGGAGAGGGAGAGAGAGAGAGGGAGGGAGAGGGAGAGGAATAAGGAAAACACCCCTACCATAAGCACAAGTGACTCCTTCTGCTTGATGCACTCGTCGATCTCGGTGAGCGCATACAATCGAATCCGACCGAGAAGCCGCTCGAAACGCGCCACGGCGGAAAAGCTCAACTTGACATTCGACCTCGAGTCATCGGCCAAAAACCCCTCCTCGTACGGCGCTAGCTGCGACGTGGGCGTGTGGTGACCAAGCTTCAGATCGTGGTTGTGGTCCTGGAACGTGCCCCTCGGCTGGAGCAGGAGGCTGTTTGCGTCCATGGCCAGCCGCTGGCTGTGCAGCAGACGGGACACGATCCACTCGTAGCTCTCGTACATGAGCTTGAGGACGGTGAGCTGGGTGCCGATCTCGTGCACCTTCTTGACGTGGGACACGTCGGCCGCCTTGAACATGAGCTGCTGCATCTCCTCCAGCTCGCGCCGGTACGGGTGGTCTAGCCGGGCAATCAGCCTGTAAGTCGACACCCAGTCGTCGAAGAGGTAGTAGAACAACAGGCTTGCCGCTTCCTTGGGGTCGTAGCCAGCTGCTGTGTTGGCGGAGGAGGAGTACTCGTTCCACCGCACGCGCACCTTCATCAGGGCGTCGCGCGAGCTGTCCTTGTTGTGCTGCTTAGAGAGGTGGTGGAAGACATTGAGCACGTTCCGTCTGGACACGTGGTGCGGTTCGTTGGGCGGAGGGCGTTCAAACACAGACACGACGGTCCCGTCGTCACAGATCAGTAGAGACGACCATATCCTCTGACCCGGCGGCTTGCTGCTGTCCCTTCCTGCGTGTCGTGACGTGTTGTTGGCAGCGTCGTCCTCAGGAGGTGCACCACCGTCGTCATCGTCGTCGTCGTCGTCGTCGTCCACATTCGCTGTGTCCTTGGTTGGTCTAGGTAGAGAGTACAAGGCATTGAAGCCAATGTAGATATACCGACGACCAAAGTCGACGGAGCAAAAATGCCACAGGTTCCTGACCACCCTGTGAAACGTCAAGCCCTCCAGATCCCTCGGGTCGATGCCTGCTTGTTGGTGTTGGTGTTCCAACAAGGGCGTCGAGTGATGAAGAGGCACACCCTTCTCGACGTCGGTTGTCGCGGGTGGTGGTGGTGGTGTTTTCGGAATCTTTTGCCGCGCAGACGTCGATGACCGCGAAGTATTATCCTCGCTGTCAGTCGAACCCACCACGCTTTTCTTCTTCGTCTCTCTCTCGTGGTCTTGGCCTGGCGACGTGATGGCCTGACACAACAGGCCCGCCAGCCGCGGAGACAGGTCGTACTTTTTCGCGACCTCCTCGATGATGGGCTTCTGGGACTCCGAGGCCCAAAAGTTCAGCCACAGGGCCTGACTCTGGCTCCCGTTGCGGCGGTCGGGCTGCTCGAGCCACGCCAGGGCGGCCTCGCGGTCAATGTCGACGGCGCATCGGGCCTCGGTGCTGTCGAAGCTGACGATGAAGTTTTCCGTCGCTGCGTGCTGCAGTCTCGCCTCGCACGTGTTGAACGCGGTGTCGTCGTCTAGATCGTATACCTGTTGAGAATGAGGATGAGGCTGAGGTTGAAGTTGTGGCTGAGGCTGCGCCATGGCGACCCTTTTGCTTGACTGAAGAGAGAGGGCGGCGGAAGACAGATAGATATTCTACCTTACAAGACCCTCTACCCGAACTTGCCAAGAAGAAAAGAGTATTATGTACAAGAGAAAATCCAAAATAAAAGAGAGACACGAGATCAATAAGAACCTCGAGGGACCTTGATCAGGCGGCTACATGGCGTTGGCGTAGGCACCGCACGCACGCACGCACGTAGGGGGTCTGCGACTGACACTTGACACGGCCCTCAGCCTCACAAAGCATTTTGCACCAATCAATCCCCAATTTACTGGTGATTATTCGCCAGATTCGCCAGGTCCTTTGTCGCCCATGTCTCTTAGCGGGGGCGGAAAATGAAACCCACGAGACCCCCTGCATACGGGAACTTTGGGGGGGAACGGAACGAATCGTAGGGTGTACCCCATAAACCAATTTAGTGGGTGGTGATGGTAGTGGGTTTGTAACGAAAAGTGCGAGTCCTGGCTCGATCGATACTTTGATATAGAAAAACCTTGCCACGACACACACACACACACACACACACACACACACAGCACAACAACGAAAGAGAAAAAAAAAATAGGGATTTCTCCATTTCTTGAACATCTTATAAAAGACCCCGCTAACCCGATCGTCCTTTCTACAATTTCGGTATGGCAGGACCGCCCTTCAACCCTGGCGCGGCACGGACTCTCCCACGATACTTGTCCTCGATCGCATCGGCCACCTCATCACGTTCCAACTCCTGAAGAGCCTTGCCATATTTACTGGGACTTGCCAGCGCCCAGAGACCGCCCTGGGCCTCGCCCTTGAGCATGCCACAGGGCCAGTTGTCGAAATTGCGGTCGTGGATCGAGCGGTGAATCCGTTCAAACGTGTTTTCCATCGGCCAGGCCTCTCGATCATCCATGATAATCTCTCCGAATTTGTCCTTGATGGCGCCGATGATGCCAGTGCCGGGCTTTGGGGCGAGCTCGCCGTCCAGCTGACTCCAGGTCTCGTTTGGGTTGGGCTTGAGTCGGTCCGCCAGCAGGTAGTATTCATTCGGGTCGTCCGGGTGTTCGGGGTCCTCGTCGATGAATGCCAGTTTCTTGTCCTTGGAGCATTGGGCAAGCATCCAGGCCAGCGTGATGTCGGCCCCTCTAGGGTCATCCATGCCGCCACCGATGTCGCTATGCACTCCGGAGAACCAGACCTGCTTCATCACTTGAAGACCGGATCCTTTCTTGGGCCGGTACAGCTGCGACCCGTTGCTGGGATCCTTCGGCCACTGCCACAGTGTCGGGATGAAGGGGATGCGGCGCTCGTCCAGCGCCAGGGCGTGATATGCAAATTGGACCTTGGTCGACAACTCGGCATTGTGGAATTCAATCTTTTCGCCACCGAGTCCCTGTCCGTGAAACGCCACAGTGTCCCAAACCCCGACGATTTTGATCGCTTCCTTTGCATTCTCGTTCAAGTCCTTGCCGATCAACTTCTTGAGGGTGGGAGAAAAATCGAAATCTGGTTTGCTGGATGGATCCTTGTAGTATTCCTCGTAGACTTGCGGGAACCAGTCCATGCCGCGTTTGGTCAGGAGTCCAAGCTTGGTCACCAACCCAGCGATGGAGCGGGCAGTATAGGCCCCGCGGGAGAAACCAAAGAAGAAGATCTCGTCTCCGGGATTGGGGTCATAGTTGTGTGCTAAGAAAGCATACGCCGCCCGGATATTGGCAGACAGTCCCGCGCCATAGACACCTATTTGGTCAATCAGAACCTGTCCATCCCGTAGTTGCAAGACCAATGACAAGATGGGGGATGCCTCATTGCTAGATCTGCGGGACTGCAAAAAGACAAATAGCTTGAGGTGTCACGTAAGAGAACAGAGCAAGGTCTCACCGCCGCGGATCCTGTCGCCGATTCCTGTTCCCACGCCAGGTTGATAGTAGATAATCTGCTCGACCTCCCGTTCTACACCATCCTGGCCTTTGACCAGAGCAACAGGACTGATGGCTCTAGCGAAGCGGGCAATGTTGGTTGGATGGCTGGGATCGCTGGTATTCAGGATGCTTTGCCACGTTCCTACAGCAACAATGAGAAACAGCCTCTGAGTTCAACAACATCATTATCAACGGAAATGTAATGGGGTGGGAATAGCCCCCTTCGTCGAGTGACAGAGTCTTGGTCTGGAGGAGGAGACAGCATATACCATCGCAAAGCTGCAAGTCGCCGTTAGCCCATCCATACTAAGCCATGAAACAGCGCTGCTCAAGCAGTCAACTTACCACAATGAGACGTTTGTAATTTGCAGGTGACCGGCCCATATGGACTCTCTGTGTCAAAATGAATGCTCTGGTAGAAAAGGGAAAGATTCCTGTAGCTCTCAGTAGCACTCAGCACCCGGCAGCAGCGAGGAAGGGAAGTTGGTCAGTTTCTTATACATCAAACACGCCGAACAGTAGCCCGACGCCTTGGACAAAGAAAGGCGCCTACATATACGATGGCCAACTCCATCTTCACCGCACGGAACCTGCCATCAGGCTGGTGAAAGTTCAGCTCCAGCAACATGGATGCCTGAGCACCAAGAAATATCTCTGGGCTGGCTGAAAGAGCTGCCTGCCATTGGTTGCATCTGACACCTGGACGTGTGACAGAACGAGGGGCAGGTTCAGCTGTACACAAAGAATCCAGGTCGAGACCCCGCCGCGTGATTGATCCTGTCATCCTGTTCGTATGTGTCGAGCGGACTGACAATCAAGCGACCGTGTGATTCCAACGTGATGGATGATTGGTGAAAGACGCCCTTTCTTCGGACTAGAAAAACCTCGTGGGAACCTGTAGTATACATCTGCAGTCAGACTGTGGGATGGAAGTGACAAATGTCATTATGAACTAAATCTCGTAGCGAATCTCGACCATGTATGTTGATGCAAGGCTCCAACGCTGAATGCTTTTGATATTCGCAAAACACTCCGACCATGGAAGGGGAAGAGAATCGACTGAGGGCTCGCCATATGCAGATAGACCAGCCCCCGCAATGGCAGTCGCCTCCAAGGTGCCTGAGAGCCAGTCACTTGATTGAATATCCAAGTTTGACACTCTTCCACCTATTTCCGACTAACCCTCAATCATATTCCTCCTCTCGAGATCTCCCATCAAACCAATTCCGTGCCCTTTTTAGACTGAATGTCCGTCGTGGCCTCGGCTCTTTGTATGCCTCTATACCAGAATATCCCTTCCTGGGAGGGGCCTCAAATTCATCCCCCTGGTCATATGATTGTCTGAAATCTCGCCCGATGACGCCGTTGCCTCTCAATTTCTGTGGGATCCCATAAGGTTGCGGCTCAGAGGGTAAGATCCCTAGGACGCGTTCCTGTTTGCTGAGGCGGCGCTGAGGCCTATCCGGAGCACCATGGGGATTTGTCGCGAACGCCGCTGACGATGGAGCAACATGAGGTTGGCCTCTTTCCACTGCTTGGACGGAAGAGAGCTGTTGACCAGAGTGGTTGCCTCCAGTACTTCCCACCGGCATTTCGCCCCCACGAGTTTGAATACCACGACCAGATATCGTCAAGGAGCGTCGGACGCTGGAATGGACACCCGGCTCGAGACTGTGACTTGCTGGTGGGCGATTGTCGGTGTCATAAAGCATGTCGTGACTTGGGGGACTGGTCATGTTGTGCACCATCTGATATTCAGCATTCCGGGGCTGTGACACCGGGTGATGACCCCGAGTGTTGTTCTCTGGGCGGTATTGTTGAGATTGTCCAGTTCCGTTGGCTTGAACCTGGGGTTGGTCTTCGGTGTCATCCTCGTCATCACTCGGGTAGTCTTCCCTCCTTTGCCGGCGGCTCCCAAACAGACTAAATCTTCGACGGGGTGCCGCTCCTGCTCTCGGGGCATACGAATCTTCTGCATAGTCCTCATCGCTTTCGTCCTGACCCCACTCTTCTTCTTGGTTGCCGGGGGCTTTTGGCATCCTCCTACCAATGCCAAATCTGTTCAATAGAGTGGGTTTTCTTTGCATTCCACTCGCCTCGTCAAGCTTTTCCCGGTCAGAGCTACCGTCGTACCAAAGAGCTGGAACAAGCAGCCTGTAAGGCACAGTAATTCCCGACGGGTCTTTTTGATTGACTTCAACATTCAAGACTACATCGAGACCGCCTTCCAGGTTCACATGATCATTGACATCAATTTCATTACCTTCGGCGTCGATGGCAGGTACGTTTCCTTTCCTAGCGGCTTTTTCTGAGAAATTGGTAGGACGGCGTTTGAATGTGCCTGGCCGCACAGGTACACCGCCAGATGTATGGTCAAACGAGGAAGCTCGTCTACTTGGAAGAGCCTGAAACTCACTTGAGGCTTGTCGCGAGCCGCTCGCGTTTCGGTCTTGGGCCAACGTCGGCCCTTCAGATCGTGTTGTCCCATCGTGAGAGGCCGAACGACCTTGATCATATATTGCGTCACGATACGACGTGGGAGGCGCTTTTCGCGAGCTGAGTCGGCGGATGAGAGCTCGCGGATTTACATCTGCCTTGGTGAAGGAGAATCGTCGAGGGCGAGCTTCTGGACTTTCCTCGAAATCTTCATCTTCGAAGACTGCCGAACTTTCGGATGGCGAAGGAGGAGGGGTCGAGCCTGGAATATACTCCTGGATCGAACACCAGTTGCGTCGAGGTAACAATCGTTTATTATTCCGCTTCTTATCGTTCACATCATGCGTGAACATAGGGATCATGTCTTCGTCCGTGTAGTGGTCTAGGTGATGTACTTTGTTCCGTTTGTTCAGGATATCGGCCAACATGTCTGATGGTGGAGTGTTCACGATGGCCGAGGATACCACATTTGGCATGTATCGGTGATCTTTGTCCTTTGGAATCTTCAGTTTCGGGTTCGAATGAAACTGGCCGATCGCAGCGAGGTGCACGTCGCCGCTCAGAACAGTGATACGACAGGACTTTTCCGCCGCAAGATCTTGTAGGTCTCTGACCAAATCGTTACGCTCATGTTTGTGGTTGGTTGCAGTCCAGTGATCATCGAGGTCATCGAGAATCTCAACTCCGCCGTCGAACTTGTTGAGAAAGCTGCCTTTCAGGATACCGGCTCTCCCCAACGCCTTGACCGGGTCCATAAGTCGACTGGTGAGGACATTTTCCAGCCAAACCAGGCGAGGATAGGCGAGGGGAACACCCATCAAGATGATGAGGTGCTTTGTCTCGCCTTCGACGAGTTCTTTGCGGCATCTGTCCAAAACAAAATCCAGGGTATCAAAGCTCAACACCTCACTGCGCTTTCGTTCCGTGCGGCAGTCAAGGCCCAGAAATGCAACATGCTTCCCCATGTGCATAAACACACTTCTGCTGAGTTGCTTGATATACGGTCCCGGCTGTCGGCCCAAGACCCAGCTAGGCTCATGTGCGGTGGTCTCTTCCGGGACGCTCTGATGCTGGAAGAGCATGTAATATTTAAACGCCACGTTACCAAGTCCGGAGAACACTGGCGTCTCCATAAAATGATTTGGATAGGAGCCAAAGCCATCGATAATGTCGTGATCGTCCCATATATTCACCATCGGGATCTGGCCAGCAGCCATACTGAACAGGCCTTGAGAGAACCACAGGGCATATCTGTTCAGATAGAAGCTTTCGAGTTCTTCCTTCATTTCGTGTGTAAATGGAGCGTGATGTTTATGAGCTGGGTTCCTCATCCTGGTCCATTCGCCAAAGTGTTCGGTCTCGAGCATGACACGGTCATTGTATATCTGGTCGCCGCCACCTATCATAACGTGGAATGGATGTGACTGATGTGTGTTGAGAACGTCCCTCCACATTGGATCAGGTCCGCTGAAGCTGTCTGGATTGACGGAGAGGCTGAACCCGTTGCAAGAATGAAACATAATGTGCATGGTCTGACCGCGACCAGGCACCCAGAAACCAACCGAAGGACCACGATTGATGCGATAAGCAATGTGTTGTTGCTCGTTGGCGAGTTCTATTTCGAGATTAAAGCGCCAAAAGGTCACATCGCGGTCTGGATCTGCATAAAGTCGAGCCCCAGCCACTTCTTGATATCTTCCTATTTTTTCTCCGTCCGTATCGAGATTGCGGTTGTTAGAGAATGGAACTAGACCTTGCGGGCCATTATGCTCCAGCGGGCTGGGAGAGCTTTCGAAGAGGCCGTCGTCGTTTTCGACCTGTGATAAATCCTTTCCTTCTTCCAGATGGTCCACGGGTCTAACATACAACGCCCTCCCAGTCCTTGAGAGCTTCGTCAAGCCAGCAATCGGATCAACATATTCAGGTTGAAGTTCATCTGTGGTAACGTGGTGGGGCGGCGGAGGCAGCAACTTCTGTGGCTTGCAAAACAGACGTAAGATTGGCGCGGGATCGTAAGAAGAATGAGAATTCTGGGTCACAATAAGGACGCTTCCTCGCCAAAATTCACGCTCCTCTCCACTTTCATTTTTCTGTCTTCTCATGCCCTTGTAGCGCAGCAAAGGCCCGCACCGAAGATAGAGATTGGGCTTGAACTCGGCGGTTTTATCGTCGATATAGTCACCTGCAGGCTGATCTGCCACTTTCGCAGATCTGCTGCGTCTGCGGCTCGATGAAGCCGCTGTCTGTTCCCACCAAGCCTTTCCCCTGTCCGCTGGGTTCAGTGGCTCAGGAGAAAAGTCGATGGTTGTAAGCCTGGCTGTTCCGGCTTCTTTCCACTCATCGACGGGTCGATTGTTGAGCGGCTCTTTGAAGGACACACTGGATTTTCGTTGTCTTTGGCGTATCACATCTACTGGCTTCGCTGGAGGTGATTGAGGACTGCTTGGGTGCGGTGAAGACTGGTGTCCTAAGCCTATTATTGGTGGTGTCTGTGGTTGCTGTTGCATTTGCGATATATCGTTTCTTAGATCAGCGGCACCTTGATTGTGTTGTTCCTGTCTGCGAGCTGGCGTAGCTGTTGTTGTGGTCGGCACAGGTATTCTGCTTGGTGTCCTGCCCGCCGAAGAAATCTTCTCATCCACGTCTTTTGGGGGAGCTTTCTGAAGTCTCTGTGAGCCACCTCGCCCGAATCTGACGGGGTCTGACACCCCGGTGAGTTTCTCCAATGCTGCTTTGTGAGATGCATTTCTCTGTCGTTCTGAAAAGTCGTCCCTTCTCGCGAGGGGCGCAGTCTGAGTATCAATTGTGCGAGCCCGTGCTTGCCCACCCAAAGGCTCAACTTCTGCGCCCACCTGCTGTGTTTCCCGCTGTTTTCCTGATCGAACCCGTTCCGACTTGATCGGGACTTCCTCGCTCGCTACACGAGGTGAGTCGAGCGGTCCTTCTTGAGCTGGCTCACTGACTCGCCGATTCTTACTGCCTGACTGGCGGCGTTGAGAAGTATTAGCCGGTTGTAGTGGGCTGGAGATAGTGTACTCAAATGCTGGATGGCCTTCTCCCGAAAGGCTTCGTACGTCAGGCCGATGACTGTCCACAGTTGTGCTATGCTGCAAACGCTGTCTCTGAGTGGTGCTAAGATTTCGAACCAGAACCGCATCTTCTAGGGTTGGCACTTCCTGATCGGTTGCCCGCTCCCGTTTCGGTGCAGAGCGTGTGGTAGAAGCGTCGGGTATGGACACCACACCAGTTCCTCGAGGAGCTCCCACAGCCTTTCGAGCTGGTTTTGGCTCACGCTCTCGCAGTAGCATCTCAGCCTCCTGCACTCTCGCGCGCTTTTCTTCCTTGCTGATATCATTGAGAGTGACTTCCAGTTTTTGTAGAGGCGAGCGATCTGGGGCCCAATCCCTTCTATGAGCTTCGTCTCGGAGAGCACTCGATCTGCTGACAGACGATACAGGCTCTTCCACTCGGCGCGAAGTCTCAGACGTCCGACGAGCCTTCTGGTCAGATTTTGGCTCGTTATAGGAGGGTTTGCGAGTTGACTCAGTGTTCCTTCCCGGTGGATCTGCAGCGCTCAAGCCATTGAGGTCCGCAGTGTTTAGTCTCAGACCATCGGGCGGTGCGGGTTTTCGAGAGACGCTGGGCATGGGTTCCCGGCGCACTGGCTCGGATACTATACGCTGTTTGGGTTTGGCGGCTTCCTCAGGGTATTCATCCTCCAAGTCCTCAAACGCTTCTCTATGGAAGGGTCTGCCCTTAGCTCTCTGGGAGAAAGAGCGCTGTAGGCCGGGATCCCCGCCCTGGCCGAGGCCTCGATAGGAGATGGGAGGTCCACGAGGCACTTCGGGCGCAGCAGGAAGAGGTTGTAATGTATTCTCCAGGTTCTGAGAAAGCGGGCGCCTGCCCTGTCCTCCGCTGTTCCGACGACCTGAGCCACTTTGTCTATTGCGCGCGGTATTTTGAGCGATCAGGGAATCTAGGGCTGGATCGTGGTAAAGGTCGACGGGATTCATGGTAGCCATAGTGGTTGGGTCGAGATCGAGATGGAGAATCAGGCTGCGACGAGACTCAAGTTCGCGGCGGGACGTGGCCTAGAGATGGGCGCAAGTGACAGAGGTAGCCATGGACAGGTACATCCGTGCACTTGAGTGATATGTCGATAAGTCTGGCTTCGTCCAAGGCGATGGTCGAAATGAGACGCCCCGTTCAAGAGGATACAAAATGTTGTCCGGACAGTTTCACATGGGAATGGAGAATAGCAATGTAGCACAACGATAATTGGACAGGGAGAAAATGACCTGAAGCCTCAATTCAACAATGTCATTATGTACAAGAAAAAGAGAATACTTTAAGCAGATACCGCAGATCGATTGACGCAGGAGAGGAAAGAAAGGTAGGTGCCCCGTAGGCCGGACACATAGTCTGTGTGGCTGGTAAAATGTGGTATTTTGGTCGACCACGTCAATCGCAGAGGCGAGGAACTCCAACTTTCAAGATCTCGCGACACCGGGGCCGGGTGGAGCTTCGGATTCGTCGCAAAGTCCAGCTGTAGCCACGGCCCTTTCACAGGGAGAAATTGGTCCCAGGCGCGGGCCGCTTAGTTAGCCCTCCAAGGGGCCTGCTAATTGGCACTCATGGGGCTTTGTCGGGGCCAATGACCTTACCTATAAGCAACGGAATAGCTACTCCACCAGGGGACTATGACCAAGTTGGCACACGGCAAACTTGCCAGATATGCACCCAGAAGCAATTCCTTGCGATGCGGGTGTAACTACCTGGACTGTAGGTGTCAGGATTCCCATGATCCGGATCAATATTTTTGTATCCAACATATTCCAGAGAGCCACCTCTTGCTCTATTTTCTATGACCTTAAAGGACTGTTAGGCCCCTTCTCCAATATCAAAGATTACCATCAACCCCTAATAAAGACATAATCGCACTCCTTTTGCTTTGTCTTTGCCCATTCTCTGAACGCGCCAGTCCTCAATTTGACTGCACCCATTGTAATATCGACAGCGCCGGACCATCAATCTGTCCCACGTTTCACAAATCCACCACCAGCACTAATTCTACGTGCGTACACTCACCGGATCGATCGCATCTTCTTCTGTTTCCTCAGTTGTGCCCTGAGATTTTCGCATCATCGAACGCAACGCTTTCTCAGTTGAGTCGAGTCGAATTGGACCACTCCGAAACCTGCACCATCTGTCATATATTAGGCACCGACAACAGTCTTTCACCTATCGTGTGAGGTATGCCTGGCTTTCTGGAGTGATTCCCCTTTATACATTTTATCATGCGGCTTCCAGTATGGCTTCCACTCCTCCTTCTGACTGGGTTCACCGAAGCGACGCCGCGCGACTATGACCAGAATGACTACTTCGCCCTCCATCTCCACCCTACCGCGGTTCCTCAAGAAGTCGCGGATCGACTGGGGATAAATCTTGAAGGACAGATTGGGGAACTGAGCGATCATTATTCTTTTTCATGCTCGAAGAGCTCCTGTCAGGAGTTGGGGCATGCGTTACAAGAATTAAAGAGGAGAAAGAAGAGAAGGAGACGCTCCTTAGACGGCAGAGATGCGTTAGCTCCGCGAGCAGAAACATCCCCGGATCTTACAGATGTTCTTTGGTCGGAGAAGCAAGAGTTGCGACATCGCCATGTCAAGCGAATACCTCCACCTCTCCCGGCCGGTCGTGTACGCCAGGACGCCGTGGACCCAGAGTCTGATGGATCGTCGGAACAAGCACAGCAAGAAGCAATTCAGCGTTTGAACACCATCGCAGACACTCTAAAGATCAAAGACCCTATTTTTAAGGAGCAGTGGCACTTATTCAATCCTCTACAGCTTGGTCACGATCTGAACGTCACTGGTCTCTGGCTGGAGGGCATTACTGGTAATGGTACCATTTCTGCTGTTATCGATGATGGACTGGACTTGTACAGCAACGACCTCAAGGACAACTATTATGCGGAAGGTTCCTGGGACTTTAACGACAACTCTCCCGAACCGAAGCCGCGACTTTTTGATGACAAACATGGCACCCGCTGTGCGGGAGAGATTGCCGCTGTTAGAAATAACGTTTGCGGCGTGGGGATGGCCTATGACAGCAAAGTCGCGGGCATTCGAATTTTGTCAAAACCCATCACTGATGAAGACGAGGCGATAGCCATAAACTACCACTACCAGGACAATCAGATCTACTCCTGTTCTTGGGGTCCACCTGACGATGGCGCAACCATGGAAGCCCGGGTCTTCTCATCCAACGAGCCATGGTCAATGGTATTCAGAATGGTCGAAACGGCCTAGGGTCTGTTTTCGTCTTTGCGGCCGGGAACGGAGCGGCAAGCCAGGACAACTGCAACTTTGATGGTTATACCAACAGCATCTACAGTATCACGGTCGGAGGCATTGACCGCGCCGGTAACCATCCCTACTACTCCGAAGCTTGCTCCGCACAACTAGTTGTGACATATAGTTCCGGCAATCAGGACGCCATCCACACTACCGATGTTGGGGTTGACAAATGTTACAATGGTCATGGTGGGACATCAGCCGCAGGCCCGCTCGTTGTCGGCACAGTAGCACTTGCACTCGGCATTCGGCCAGACCTTACCTGGCGAGATCTACAATATCTATGCGTTGAGACCGCCATCCCCATACACGAAGACGACGGAAGCTGGCAGAACACGACCATTGGCAAGAGATTCAGCCATGCCTACGGTTATGGCAAAATCGACGCTTATAGATTCGTCGAGGCTGCTAAGACGTGGAAAACGGTCAAGCCACAAGCGTGGTTCCACTCACCCTGGCTCAGCGTCCAGCATGATATACCGGAGGGCGAGCAAGGACTGGCTGCGAGTTTCGAAGTCACCAAGGAGATGCTGAACAAGGCCAACCTGGAAAGACTCGAACACGTCACTGTAACCATGAATGTTGAGCACACCAGGAGAGGTGATTTGAGTGTAGATCTGATCAGTCCCAGTGGCTTGGTCAGCGAAATCGCGACCTCCCGTGGTCCAGACGGAGCTGCAGAAGGGTATGATGACTGGACGTTCATGTCGGTGGTTCACTGGTAAGTGAAAGCTTCAACAGACTGTTCCCGCCCCATTCGTGACTAATACCACAATAGGGGTGAGTCTGGGATTGGCAACTGGACTGTGATTGTCAAAGATTCCCAGAAGAATGAATTCAACGGAACCTTTATCGACTGGCGTCTGAATTTATGGGGCGAATGTATCAATCCACAGATTCAGACGCTTCACCCACTACCTGACGAGCATGACGACGACCATGAAACTGCCACCGTCATTGTTAGTACAACCAGTGTGGAGCCTGGCGCTCCACCTACTGGGCTTCCCACAACACCCACCGACCATATTGACAGGCCTACCAAGCCTAAGCCTACCGACGCAACGGATTCTGTGGTCATTGTCACGGCAACCAATACGGTGTCTGTGCCTGCAGCCACAGCGACAGTGACAGGTGAACCCAGCGAGTACTCAGATGGCTTCCTTCCTTCGTTTTTCCCAACCTTTGGTGTATCGAAGCGCACGCAGATTTGGATATACGGCTCAATCGTGTTGATCATACTCTTCTGTGTGGGCCTGGGAATCTATTTCTTGATCCAACGACGTAAAAGGCTTCGAAACAACCCCCGCGATGCATACGAGTTTGAAATGGTTGGCGATGCAGATGAGGATGAGCAACAAGGCTTGACTGCACGGGGAGGGCGAGTCAAGGGAAGGGCTCGACGAGGCGGCGAACTGTATGATGCATTTGCGGGCGAGAGTGATGACGATCTCTACAGCGATGAAGAAACATATCAAGACACCCCAAGTAACGACACAGGAACGGGATCGAGGTCTGGGAGCTCTGATGGCAAGGAAAGGGAGAAATAAAACAAAGGGCACAGGAAGGGGGGCGTTCAGGATCCCGCATGCCATGCGTAGGCTAGCAGCCGCAGGAGGCATTCTGGGCGTTTGTCAGACAGCCCATTTCTGTACAGAAATCTATCCTTATGACGCGTGCATTTACCCATCAGCAAAGACCTGGCCGTCCGAATTGAAAGTACTAGAAGTGGCACGATTTTGACACAGAATACAGGTTACATTGTGCAGTAGAAGCTGGAGAGTCCTTGGGTGACAACGAGATTGACTTTGCTTGGGTGCTCCAGTGCCTAGATCCGCCATCACCTAGAACCTGCGGGCACCGCGAGACATGAAATTTACGCGGCAGGCGCCCATTTGAGCCCTGAAACTGGGAGCGCAGTTTGACTTCACCTTGCAGCCGGCGTGATCAACAATCCAGAATCGATTCGCTCTCCTCACCGCGAATGAGCATATTCTTCACCGTCTCCCTAGCAGCATCATGAGCTTCCGAACACAGTGCATACCATGGTGGCCGGCTCTAGGTCGTCATTGAGGCGCCCTACACTACGAGGCCACAAAGCAACATCCAACAGTCCTACCAACAACGAACCACCACCTCTCCTCCCCAAATCTGGCAATGAAGGCATCACTGTCAGATCGAAACGGCTCCGAGCTGCCACTGTTGCCACGCCCGAGCACGACCTGAAAAGACGTCGGTTGTCGACCAACAAGGGCGAAATACCACAGTTACGTATCCCGCTACGCAGTCGAGGGGGTTTACCTAAAGCCCTCTCACAACCTCCCGCCGCCACCCCGACCGGAGTGCCTCCCACGCCTGCGGCCAATGCAGATACCACACATATCAACAACACCCCCATCGACTCGCCTCTATCCCCAGGCGAAAAATCACAATATGATCAGATCAGAATTATCGAAGAGAAGGCGAGAGCCGCAATCCGAGGAGGCGGTCTGTCCACAAACCATGAGGACCGGCGAAAATTACGCTCAGAGGATGGAGGGTCTCGGGCTAAAACGGAGCTTGCGCAGTATTTCCCAGATTTTGAGGAGATGCTGAGTCTGAAGCCCCCCGATCCAGGTATGGCTTTGTTGCAACTTCTGATTAAGACTCTTACTGACCTCCAGTAGAAGCTTTGACCGTCAGAACGAAGATCGTCTTGGTTGACGATACACCTGACTTCGAGCCGAGACAGCCCAAGTCTGACCCTTTTGGAGCGCACAAGCCGCTTCACAACACACAAGTCATCCGCCTGAACCCACCGGACGACACTGTCGGTGCTGACCCAGTCGACCCTTTGGGCGAGGATGTGTACATCAAGATCCATGCCAAGGCTGAAAGGCATGAGAAGCAAATGAAGAATAGCGATAGGGAACGAGCCCAGCACGAAAAATACCAATTGGAGAAACTCCTCGACGACCTGCGAGGACCGGACTGGTTAAAAACCCTTGGAATAACCGGCGTTACCGAGACAGAGAAAAAGCGCTACGAGCCCAAACGACTACTTTTCATACGAGAAACCCAAGCCTTGATTGACAAGTTCAAAAGATGGAAAGAGGAAGAGAAGCGCAGAAAGATGGAGCGAGAGCAAGAGCTGCTGGAAGCAGCCGTGTTGGAGGACCAAGAAGAAAATGAGGACGAAGGCGATAACGCGGAGACTGAAGGGTCAAACAACGGCTCGGGCGTGGAGGAGGGCAGTCTTGACAGTGCATCAAGCCATGCTCCAAACTCCAGTGAGCTTGATGCACTTGCATCGCAACAACTGATCGAGGAAGCAAAGATTGCCAACAAACGCAGAAAACCAACACCTGCACAGTGGCCCGACGCTTCGCCGCCGAAGTTGTTCACTTCCTTTTTCGATAAACGACATCTGCGAGACGCAGCGGTCGCGGGCCGTCAGAGGGGACGGACCATTCTTGCTTTTGGTCATCCCATTCCCGACTTTTCGGAGGAAGAATTTGAGCTCCCGGACGACATTCTTACAGACGAAGCGATCAAAGCAAGGCAGCGATCTCATAGGCGACTGCGGAGAGGCGGCGAGTGACGATGAACTCGAATGAGCCCTGATGAAAGCGAATCTACGGCTCGTGACTTTGTACTGTACAGGATACACAAGAGGAATGTATGATGGGCTGGCCAAAGTTGGGACGGCGGTTGGAATACGGTTTACCACTGGAGATGGAGTTCCAACCCTTTTTTCCAATGCCAGGGGGGAGTTTTTTTTTTTTTTTGTTTTTTTTTTCTTGGGTTGGTTCGAAGGAGTCGTAACTCAACTTGCTCAATCAGATGTGATTCATTTTATGCAGGTTTGGGAGAGAGTCCCAAACAGGTGGTGACCAACTATCTGATGGCCCCCCTAACTACAAGGAAAGGGATCGAGAAAAGTACCTGATACTCTGTGTTCATAAGCACCACGAAACCTGAAGGATCAGAGAAGCCACAGTACGGAGAACTTTCCCCCATCTGCTTCACCTTTGTGACAAAAAGGCGCTGGAGGCTTAGTATCAAAAGCCTGAGAAATAATGCTAAGCGCCTAGCGCTGCCCCTCTAGTCGTAGTACGTGTTCAGTCATTAGTATAGTACGAGGAAATTACTCTGTAGTGGTGAGTGGGTTCGTCAATCTCCTATTATTATACACCGTTGCATCCACAGCACGAGTAGCACTTGTTTGCCACATATCCACGCTGGAAGACGAGTGATTCGAAACTATACCAATGTTATTAATCAGGTATCCATTGACTCGAGATGGACAAGTTGCTGGATACGCTTACTCTGCTCCTTGAAACGCTGAATCCTGTGTGGCGCATTATATGAGTAGCCAACATGTGGTCTGAGTGACCAGATGTACGAGTATAGATGTCCTCCAACCTATATAGCTATACTGCTTGCTTGACAATCATGTATAAAAACCAATCGAGTAACTGCAGGGCGCACGGACATAGAATTGCTCCATCTTACTCTGTACGGGTCCCATCATCATCATAACTCCGCCCAAGGTATAGAGGTACTCGTATGTAACTCCTCTGTAGAATCTCGCCTCCCTCTCTTAGCTCTCATCCACTGCCTCTCTTGATTTGCTCGTGGCACAAGCGAGACCGGGCCGAAAGTCTCCAAATTTGGGGGCCAAGGCTCAGCCGCAGCATATGCGCAGTCGAGGCTTGAGTCCTGCTGCGGAATTTCGTATTCACGAGGTCAAATGTGAATCCTTCTGGGGCACAGAATGCATCCGATAGGGAGACTGATGTCTCTCTTCCAGCCATAGATGATTTCGATCCTTTGATCCTCGCGGATCTGCCAAGTGGACCGGGTTCCTGTTGCACAGAAAGCAGGGCCGATAGTCTTACGGCCCATTCTCCCTGACTCTCGGACTTCTGTTGAAAGATATTTCGTTATTAAATGGATGGGAACCCTTACCTGCGATGCGGATTGCCTTATCCTTGGAGTCTCTCGTTCAATACCTCTCTCTTTTCTTTCTCTCCTTGAGCGGGTATCCTTGTCTTGAACAGCGCCCAGCCTGAGGTCGCTGTGGGAGACGAGCTGATCCCAACAGCATCCATGGCAAAGAACATATGGAAAGCATGCGCCCTTGCAATCGCATTGGTCCAGGCCACCGTCGGTGCCAACATCGTCACCTCTCCTCCGGCTATCCTGCCACGAGCAACCGGAACAATACCAAAGGGATCAGCTTGTTCTGCTGCATCCAGTGCCTCATCAGCATTCGCATCCGCAAATCCTGACCGGGAGAAAGTATACATACCTGCCGAACTCGCCTACGAATGCCTGAAATCCGTTCCGAACTACCAAGAGCCGGCGATCCGCCTCCTGAACTCTTTGCGGACGTATCTCGAGTTTCAAAGCAGCAAAGAATATCTGCTGAACCCGCCGTCGGGCTACCTCTTTCCCGCCGTCGACCTCGATGGGGCTTTGAATAGTATACAAAAGAAGGTGGAGGCTGGCTTATATCAGAGCGAATATGACATGCAGGCGGAGATAGTTGCATTGTTGACTTCGGCACGGGATGGACACCTTGCGTTCCACATCGACTTGTTTTACTCCTTCACCTTTCTTCGCACTGCCGGGGATGGCCTGGCTACCATCTCCTCAGACGGAGTCGAGGAACCACAAGTGTACCTGATGGGCAAGTGCAGCGTTCCACGGTGAAACTTTGGGAGAATTCGACTAACATGTGGTAGATGATCTTGTGTTGTCGGATGAAGATACTGGCCAGCCTCGCCCTGTGACCGGATATGCTCCTTCCCCAGTCACGAGTATTGACGGCGTCGATGTGGTTACCTTTTTATTGACCCAATCTATGGTTCGCGCGGGTCAAGACCCGGACTCCCTATGGAATCAACTGACTCCCAACTTGGTTTCACAACGGGACGACTCATTCCGAGCCTCCCTTTTTTACCCAGGGCCTTCAACCAACATTACGTTTGCGAATGGAACTACGCGCGAATATCCCAACATCGCTGTCGTCAACATGCCTCTCGACGGTGTCCACACGGGGGAAGATGCCTTCTCCTCTCTGTGTTACGGTGCCTTTGAGACAGAGACGCTAATGGCCACAGCCACATCTACATCCTCTGCCAGTAGCACAACTCCAACCACCTCAGATGCCTCGACAACAACCGAGGCAGCCCCAAGCTCACCTACCATTCCAAATTTCCCATATCCAGTGATCAAGCACAGCGCTGATTCGGTAGCTGGGTACTATCTGAACGAGACCGGCCTGACCGATGTGGCTGTTCTTCAGATCCGAGAGTTCGAATCGGAGTCCAGTGCGGACGATTATGAAAGAGAATTTCAGTCAGTGATAGAAAAGTTTCTCGATGCAGCGGTTAAGACCGGGAAGAAAAAGTTGATCGTAGACCTTCAGGGCAATCCAGGTCAGTACTTGGTCGTGACTAACTCACTGGAGGTGTTAACTCTTATGCAGGTGGCTTTGTTGTCCTTGGAGCCGACACCTACGCCCAACTCTTCCCATCCATTAAGCCCATTGACAAGTCGAATGTGCGGGACCATCTTGGCTTCTGGATCTTGGGCAATGCTGCGTCCGAGATGTATTCGAACGCCACGAAAACCGACGACGAAAGCGACGAGCAATACGACACGGTTGTATATAATACACTGGCGTATCAGTCGATTGTAAGCCACCAGTTTTACGACTTTCCTGATTTTGAGACATACTATGGGCCCTATCCCGCGAACGGTGGGAACTTCAGCGCCTACTTCCAGACCAACTACACGGATCCGGGTTACACTAACTTTCAAGATACCGGCATCATCATCACAGGGACGAATAATCGCACAGGGTTTCGACAACCGTTTGCGGCACAGGACATTGTCGTGCTCACTGACGGCTTTTGTGCAAGTACCTGTACAGTGGTTTCCGAGTATTTGAAAAGTTACAGCGGTGTGCAGTTTATTACAGTGGGAGGTCGACCACAAACAGGGCCAATGCAAGCGGTTGGCGGTGTGAAAGGCAGCCAGGTCTTCCCATTTACTCGGCTGCTACCATGGGCCGATCTCCTTCACAGTCCCAACAATACGTTCTCGGAGCTGGCGAACGGCACCATCTGGGAGGATTTCACCTACGAGGCGGCGCTGCGAACGTTGGACGAACAGGGTACCGGTGGAGTAAATGGTTGCAACCACTTTCGGTATGGTGAACAGACGGCCACCCCGCTTCAGTTTGTGTATGAGGCAGCCGATTGTCGCCTCTGGTGGACGAGAGAAATGATGTATGACCCGACCTTTATTTGGTCACGGGTCGCAACCGTGGCTTTCAAAGAGCGAAAGGGGACACAGTTCAACTCGAAATATTGTGTCGCCAACAGCACAGGACATCCGACCAGTATCTCTGGAGGGTGGAAAGCGCCGTGGCTAGGGCCGCAAGACCCGCCGGACAACATCAGAGCGGGGCTTAAAGGTTGGAAGCTACAGGGCAAACCTCTTGAAGCGCTGTCCCCAGGACATTCGACCACGAACTCTAAGCAAACCGCGACCAACTCACCGACAAGCTCAACGAAGGTGTCGAAGCCAACGTCGCCACCGGGCGATACTTCGGACAAGGCATTTGATGATGACGCCGTTGTCGATGATATTGATGTGGGTGGCACTGACATCGACGGTCTCAATGTTGACAGTGATGAGTTGACCTCGATCAAGCAAGCATGCTCCTCCTATACCGGGGATGCGTGGCTGGTCAGGGTGATTTGTGGGGCATTGAACGGGTCGAAATGAAGTTTCGTCAGGGTACTGTGAGGTGTTAATTGTTGTCTTGTTAGCCAGCGCGCATAGGGCGGAGTATGGGGCTATGTGGTTCTTGGTCTTGTATAAAAACCTTGGGAAGACAGATGTGTCACTTTGAGGGTCCAGATTGAGATTTGGGGTTGGATCCCTGTTTTACCAGTACGTGTTTCCTCTTGCCGCCGGCCCTCATATACCGAGTATATATTTGTACGAGGTATATCAAGATGAGAATCCCTCAAGCGCCCGTCGACAGAATGGGCGAGAACGAGGCGAGGCGTTGAAATGGATCCAATTAGAATCAATTAAGAACAACGCGGCTTAGTAACCAAGTCACATCCGATGGCCGCTAGTACTAAAAGCCGCGCCAAGAAATCCCGCTTCCAAGAACCACAAGCTTTCCACTAGTAGTATTACAACTCCTTTCCTCGACTCTATGCTATCTGGCTATCTACCTACATTTTCTCAGCAGGCAAGACAGGTTACTGCTGGAAAACAAGTTGTCTCCTCGACTATACTGCTCAGGTGGCTACAATAGACTGTGTGCCATGTTTCTGAGAGTCTAGGGAAAAACAATACAAAACCTAGTTGGCCTCATTCTTGACTGACAAGGGTGGCTACATTCCACTGCACAGGCTAGAACATAGTGGCCATGGATACCCGCAGCACTGCACTACACCACACGCCACACGGTGGTACAACGGACTCGGACGACGAAGCAGACGTATACGACTGGAAATCCTCGCGTGTGCCCGGAAGTAAAGATGCCCCACGCTCCCGAAAGGGCTCAACCAGAAGAGGATCCAAGCAACCTCAAGAAGACCAACACGAGCAAGGAACTGAAGGACTGGAGAAAGCGCCTCAATCAGACTATACAGACTCGTCAGAAGGAGCCCCGGAAGACGAGCACCTACCCCATCCCTTCTACCATTATGCTGCCGAAAAGCGCGACACGTATGCCGATGCCAAACTCATCTACCAGCGGCATCGATTGGACACTAAATCCGAGAAGGATTTCGGCAGTCCGTTGATGTTGGGCAAGTCCTACACCATGCCTGCCTCTGCGATGGATGGAGAAATGGCAACGCTACAGCGGACCCCTAGCATGACATCCAGGCAGTCTCGTGTCTCCCAACGTGGCACTGGCCCCAGCGGCTTTCAACTCAACCATAACAAAGAGTCGTTTCCTTCCCTGCAAACTCATGTGGGCAATCATCAAGAAATCCGCCCGGATCCGACACTGATTGCCGATGCCGCTGCACGGGATCACAAACGTCACCCTGGTCTCCCACACGAGTTCAAGGATCCTCTGCTAGCTCACGAAGGTATGCACGGCGCTGGTGCCGGAATGGGCCTGGGCTCTGGCCCCGGCGGACTCGCTACGACTGATGAATCGATCATTAGCGAAGTGCAGTCGATTTGTGACAAGATCAAGACAGTGCTGGATTTGAGGCAGAAGTATCTCAAGCTCTCGTTACAGTGTCCCGGCGTGAACCCAAAGGATGAAGAAACTTGGGAAATCTATCCGCCTCCACCGAACCCGGTGTGGAATGAGCAAAAGGCTCGCGAACCGCCTCAGGGCTATATTCCTCCCAACAGCACGTCGAGCAGTCTGTACATGATCGACATGAAGGCACGAAATGCGAGTGCAGGTGAGTTGAACATGTGGCCGACCAACGCAAGCCAGACCGGCTCTGACCGAGGAGGTCCGGCGTCACCCACGAGCGCCAAAAAGGCAAGAAAGCCTGGCCATGCCATTGGCGAAGATTTCGACTTGAGCGAATGCGTTATTCCCGGGAAGCAAGCCAAGAGCTTGCGCTTCGAGATGGATGCTGGAAGTGTCTATCAAGTTTACGGGGAGGATGATCAGCCAATAGTCGAGGTTCCGACTTTGCGGGACTATTACATGGCACTTGATACGATCCTCGATATCGCTTCCGATGGGCCAGCCAAGAGCTTTGCCTACCGCCGCCTGCAATACCTAGAAGGGCGATACAACTTGTATGCTCTCTTGAATGAGTATGAAGAGGTCGCAGATACGAAGAAGGTACCTCATCGAGACTTTTACAACGTCAGGAAAGTGGACACCCACGTGCATCATTCTGCGTGCATGAACCAGAAGCATCTATTGCGTTTCATCAAGAGCAAAATGAAAAGGTGCCCTGATGAAATAGTGATCGAGCGCGACGGTAGAGAATTGACTCTGAAAGAGGTATTCGACAGCATCAATCTCACGGCATACGATTTGAGCATTGATACCCTTGACATGCACGCTCATACGGACTCGTTCCATCGCTTTGACAAGTTCAACTTGAAGTACAATCCCATCGGACAGTCACGGCTTAGAGATATCTTTTTGAAGACCGACAACTTCATCAAAGGGAGATATCTTGCCGAGATTACCCGCGAGGTTATCACAGATTTGGAGTCAAGCAAGTATCAGATGGTAAGGAAAATACTCGGAGAAGCTTCTGCCTCGCCCTGCTGACCATAGCGTAAACAGGTTGAGTGGCGAATCAGCATCTACGGGCGCAGTATGAGTGAATGGGACACGCTGGCAGCGTGGGTCGTCGACAACAAGCTTTTCTCTCACAACGTGCGGTGGCTCATTCAGATCCCGCGATTGTTCGCCCTGTACAAGTCGCTCAAGACCATGGAGGACTTTGAGCAACTGCTCCGCAACATCTTCCAGCCTCTGTTTGAGGTGACGCAAGATCCCTCCACACATCCCAAACTACACGTCTTTCTCCAACGGGTAATCGGCTTCGATAGCGTCGACGACGAGAGTAAGGTGGAACGACGGCTGTATCGCAAATATCCGGCAGCGAAGGAATGGAACACCAAGCAGAACCCACCCTACGGATACTGGATCTACTATCTGTTTGCAAACCTGACATCTCTCAATGCCTGGCGCAAACGGAGAAACTTCAACACCTTCCTCCTGCGCCCTCACTGTGGCGAGGCGGGCGACACCGATCACCTGGCTGCGGCATTACTGTGCTGTCACAGCATCAGCCACGGGATCATGTTGCGAAAGGTCCCCTTACTGCAGTACTGCTTCTACCTCGAGCAGATCGGCATCGCCATGTCTCCGCTCAGCAACAACGCGTTGTTTCTGACCTACGACCGCAACCCGTTCATCAGCTACTTCAAAAAGGGTCTCAACGTGTCGCTGTCGACAGATGACCCCTTGCAATTCGCCTTCACAAAGGAACCCCTGATTGAAGAGTACTCGGTTGCTGCGCAGATCTACAAGCTCTCCGCAGTCGACATGTGCGAACTGGCCAAACACTCGGTCGACCAGTGTGGCTTTGAACTCTCGCTGAAGCAGCGCTGGCTGGGCAAATACTGCTATCTGCCTGGCGTGCTAGGCAACGATGTCGCAAAGTGCAACGTTCCCGACGTCCGGGAGGCGTTCAGACACGAAACGCTGAAAGCAGAGCACGCATTCATTGCGAAATACACAAAAGACTATAGTCACTTCGATCGCTGTACCCCTGACTTGCCCGATCCGTCGGACCCGGCAACACCAGTGGATGAGATATACCGGGGTCTGGAGAGTCCCAGGCAGTACTATGCGTCGTTTGCGGTGGCTGATTCCATCGCCCCGGCTCAGCAAGCCAGAGAAAGGGAGAGGGAGGCAGCGCTGTCCAAATCAAACCCGAACGGACCACCGGGTAATACTTCACCCACACGACTCCGAAGGACCTCGAGCGTCTTATATTCCACCACTTCGAACCCAGCGGACGCACATATCTCGGGCCAAGAGCCACGCGCCTTTCCGGGAATCGTGCACCAGCGCGAGAGGAGACGCAGTGTACGTGTGGGATCAGGTAATTCGGAGGGCACGGGCCAGCACTCGTCGGATATGGCCAGCAGCTTACAATTGGAGCCCGGACTCGCCAAGATTACAACGAGGGAAGACAAGGAGATAAGAGAGATGGAGGATGATGGTTGATTTCTTTTTTTTTTGTCTCGTTACTGTCTGATTTTTTTTTGGTACGGAGTAATGTAGCAGGCGATGGAGGACTGTTTTCCGTATTCGTAGACTTGACCGCCATTGGGAATGACTGGATGAGAAAGAACCAAAGCACCATTGCGCTGAACCCTGAAATACGGGGTAACATGTTCCTGACTGCATAGTACCATGCCTGCAGCTGTCCGTTGCGTTGCGGTCTGCCTGAAACTATTGATGCCCGCACGGGAGGACGCATGAATGAGAGCAGAGTAGATCTATTGCAGTGGTCTGCATGGGTAGATGCGGCAAAGGTGCATGGATCTCATGCTCGACCCTGGAAGAGATTCGGGAGAAGTCGGGTGAGAGGGGGACGCGAATGGATCTGGATCGAGAGAGCGGTGGACTACGTCCGCCAGTGATGCACGTACTGGCCATTCAGGACGAAATCCGGGGAACACTTCTTCAAACCAGGTTCTTTTGGATCCTGGGTTTTTACGGCGGTCGTATTCGTAGACAGGCGAAATGACGGTCTAGAGAGATGCTCGAGATGGGCAAAGAGGTAAAAAGTGCGGCTCGGGTGAATCAGCCCGAGCAAGGTGAGTCAGGCAAGGCATGGCATCAGCTGGTTTGTTGGATCAGCATATGGTCGAAACAAGAAGTGTTGAAATGCATGTCGAGACCGTCCCGATGTCAGTCCCGCACACTGATTCGGTAGTATTTGATTTTCTGTTCAGAGGTCAGCCGTGGTCAGTCCAGTCTCATGTGGCGCCGCCTTTCACTACTTGGTGCAGACCTCGCAGATGGATGAGGGCGCAGTTAGTCCTGTCGATCTGGAGTCTGGGGGAATTAGACCGCCATCTTGGTTATGGCGTAGAGTAGCAGAGGTCCGATACAGGGCGATCAATACTCGGTGCAGAGTACCTAGGTACTCTTCCGAGTCCTTGTACAACATCGGTGACGAGTGCTGAGGTTGATTTACCCTCCGGCCGGCGACCGTAAGTGAGCAGGAGAAGTCTAGCCCAAGCAGGCCCAGGTT